AAATCCGGTACTTGAGACTAGTAAGTTATTTATAATAATTACTAGATTATTTTATATAACTCGTACTTTTTCTAGAAATTTTACTTATATATTAATATAAAAATATATATTTTAGTTTAAGTAATTAAGTATATTTATAAGTATATATATAAAGAAATATACTATATAATAGTTATAATTATAGCTATAAATAACGAGATTATCTAGTATATATATACCTATTATATAAGTTTATATAAGGCTATTTAGTAGCTATTTGAATTTCTTATATATTAGGAATTTCCTTTTATTTAGTATCTTATAGTTTATTTTAAGAGAAAGTAAATAATTTATTTTTTAGATAATATTTCTCTTATAGCCCTAGCTATAAAAACTATAAATATCTATTTAATCTTAATAGCTTTTTTTAAATATAATACTATATATAAGAATAGCTAGTAATATTTATATTTAAAGTTTTTGGCCTATTTTATATAAGTTTTAAAAACTTATATATAGAAGTATTACTAATAAGGTAATAATAACTAGATTAGCTATATATATTATTATAGTCCTATTTTAGGTAAGTAGTATTATTTATAACTCTTACTTATAATTATTTATAGCCTATAGTTTTTTATAGATTTATATTTAGTTAAAGGTATTTATTACCTAATATACTAGACTATTTATATTATTTATAGCTTAATAAAAAATAACTAGAAATAGTACTAGTATTTTAATAAGATTATTCTATTTATATCTATAAGTAATTTATAGATATTATTCTTAATTAGCCTTTACTAATAGCTAATTATAGACTTATTAGTAATCTAGAACTAATATAAATACTACTTTTATAATAATCTCTAGTATTAGCTTACTTATAATAGTAGTTTCTTATTTCTATTTCTTAACTTATATTATAATTATAGCCTTTTCTTACTTATATATAGGCTTATAGACTAGTAATAATTACTTATAGACTATAGGCTCTTGTTTTTTATCTAGAATTAGATTAGTAAATACTATTTCTTATTTATATTATATATTCTCGAGAACTAGATATTATTTATAATTATAATATAAGCCTAGCTTAATCCTAATTAGTAATTATATTTTATAAAAATTATTATAGTTATTAAATTAGATTTATAAATAGCCTACTTCTATTTATAAAGGCTAGGAAATATAAGTAAGATATTTTTATATAAGGTACTTTATTATTACTTTTATAAATAAGGGCAAATAGTTTTTTATATAATATCTATAAGTATTATAGCTCTTTTATTACTAAATAAATATATGTCTTATTTTTAATTTAAGATTCTAATTAAGCTTTATAAATTATTTATAAGTTCTATTATAAAATAGAATATTTTTAGATAGATTCTCTAGTTTATGAATTTTATTATCTAAAATAAGATATTAATATAATATAAATACTATTTTAAGGTTATTTATTAGCTTTTAGTAAATTTATAATTTATAGTAAATAATTTTTTTTTTAGAGAAATACTTGTAATTCTTAATAAAGATTTTACTTAGATTTTTCTAGTTATATTATATAATTTATAAATAGATATTATTATTATATATTTTTAATAATTATTTATTTAGCTATAGCTTAAGTAGCTTTACTTATAAACTAATATATGGGTCTATAAGGGCAAGAATAGCTAGGAATTTATTTATTAGATTAGTAAATTACCTAATAACTCAAACCCGAATAAAATAGTAATAATTTCGGATTATATAAACTAGCTAATATTAATTACGGATCTAATTAGCTATATTTACTTTCTAGATCTTTTTTTCCGAATTATTATAGATCCGTTAACTTTCTATAAATAGTATTTCTTAATTATATTAAATACTATAGTCTTAGAGCTTAATATTTATATTCTTAGATATTTACTAGGCTAATTACGAATATATTAATTAGTAGATTTCCTAGATATAGATAAGTTTTCGGGTAATAACTTATATAAGCTACTTATAAAATAGTTATAAAGTATTAATCTTTTTTTCTTATTATTATCTTAGCTTACTTTTAAGATTAGGACTCTAGTACTATTTTTATAAAACCTATATTTATAAAAAGATTTATATAATAAAACCCGAATAGTAATTATAAGCTTATAAGTATATTATATTAAGGCTTACTTACTTAGAGGGAATTTTAATAGCTAGTTATAGGTAATTCTATAAATTAAGCTATTTACTATAAATACTAGCTTAGGAATTACTTTTTCCCGGAAGTAGTTTCTAGTTTATTTATACTTTATAATAATTATTAATAAGTTATAAGATTAATTCTTTTATATTATTAGTTTGGATCTATAAATACCTGTATTTATTTATAAGTAGTTTTATATAGGGATTTCCCATATATTATTTATAGAAAGCTTAAGTATTTTTCTATTATATAAGAATCTATCTAGAATATTTAATATAACTTATTTTGAGATCTTAGCTAATTTACTTTAGTACTTTATTTCTTATAGGTATCTTATAAGTACTAGATAGCCTTATAAGTTAGATTAAGAGATTTGGGAATTTATAACTATTTATAACTACTTATAAGTATTTATATCTATTTATAAGTAACTTATAATTATTATTTTAAATATTTTAGGGCTTAAATAGACCGAGAATATTATATTATTAAATATTAAAAATATATATCTTTCCTAGATAACTTTTTATAGGATTTATAACTTCTTATTCTACTTACTTTTTTTTTTCTTTTCTTCTTTCTTCTTTTCCTCTTTCTTTCTTTTCTCTTTTTCTGTCTCCGGTACTAAATAATTTATCCCTTCCTCTTCTTCTAATACCTTCGTCTCCTCTTTATAAAGAGCTACTAGCTCCTTATAGAACTTAGCAAAATAGTATATTTTTTGAGAAAGAGTAAGTAGGCGGCGGTAATAAGAAGTAATAGGGCGGCGGGCTATTTATATATTAGTTATAATTTATAATAATCCGTAGCAGATATATATATATAAAGATAATTTACCGGAAGTAATCCGGTTACCTATATAATTACTAGAAGCGACCTGGTAAAGCGGACGTGGGTTAGTAATAGTAGGGGCAGGAACTAGAGCTAAAGCTAGAGAGGGAAAGGGAGCGGCAGTAGTACCTGTAAGTACCCGTTAGATTAGTTATAGTCCGTAAAAGATTAGTAAATAGGTATAAAAAGTACTTATAAAAAGAATAACGGATATTCTTATTACTATAATAGTAGTTAGTATAGCTTCCTCCAAACTAACTAGCCATAACTATATATACTATTTATATACCCGACCCGCTAATATAATATATATATCCGGCAGTATGAACTTGACTAATAAATTAGCCAAGCTTAGCCTCCAGGTTAGCAGGCCGGGCGGGGTTAGTGGTACGGCCGGCCGCAAAACAGGCACCCGTAGCGGAGCTAGCAAAGAGAGCGCCGTTATGGTGCGGGTTAGGCGGGCGGGCAGGGCAGGCAGGGCAGGCAGGGCAGGTACTAGTGCTGGTGCTAGTACTGCTGCTGCTGCTGGTGCTACTGCTACTGGTGCTGTTGCTATTGCTGCTACTGTTACTGCTATTGCTACTGCTGGTGCTGGTAGTGGTAGTAGTGGTGGTAGTAGTAGTAGTGGTACTGAAGCTGGAGCTGCAGCTGGGGCTAGTGCTGGTACTACTGAAGCAGCGGGAGCAGATGGGAGAGAAGACATTCTATGGACCGTAAAGAGCGTTACAGGCCAGGGGCAGGCCCGTAGCGGGTATGGGGTTAACTTACATGTGTGTATGTGTGTTTATTAAAGGAAAGAAGCTTTGGAATTCGAAATTAAAACCTACCTTATTTAGCTTACCTGGAAAATTTTTAGCCTTCAAAAAGTGAATTTTCAAAGTGAATTTAAAGTCAGTAAAGCTGATATCCCTTAAATAAGTGCCTGAGGCATCCAATTAATCTCGAATCGAGATCTGGGCCGCTTCGCTAAAATTAAAGCCTGGCGGCCCTACGCAAGCTTCGGGGCCAGTCTTTAATTTTGCCCTGATCTCGTATCTTACAACGTCTAAACCACATAAGCGTAGACATCTGCCGCTATTACCTCCAGTCAGGAAACCTACCAAACTTTTGTTGCTGAAGTGTGTAACAGAGGCTGTGGTTTAGCCGTGGAATTACCTGTCAAGCTTTTATGGATCACTGTTACCCTGGCTCTTTTGTGCAATGACCAGTTTCAACCATCACTCGCATCTCCTCTGTTAAGCATAGCTTGCATTATTGACTCCGCACACCCTAAGAAATTGATTTTACTCAACAGCTTCAGCCCATGGTCTGCTCTTGCCTTCCCAGTGGGGTCCACATGTCCAAATCCTGCCTTTGCAAAATGAGGAACATCCTTATGGTAAATCTTCTGAGATCATTGCGTGATCGATTGTTTTGCAAAAGAAGTTGTGATCTTTGGGGCTGCACTGTGTCAGCATGGCGCTTCTTCGTTAGTGGAATGTTACCTCACAATTGAAACAAGGGCTAACCGCAATCCAGATCAAGAAGTTGTTGATAGACTTCCACCCTATTTTGGTTCCTGCTAAGTTCATGCCTACCGATGTCCACGATTCTCTCCATTAATTCACCTAGCCGCGTTGACTCCTGGTTCTCGAGCCCAAATGTCTGATATATTTCCTTAACTGAAATATTGAATATCACCACTATCTCTGGGAGGCGAAGCAGAATATTAAAGTGCTTCAAATAATAAATATATTAGAGTAAGTGTCTGCTATTTCAGCTGCGGCTGGGAAAGCTCCACAACCCGCCATGGCAACTCTATTACGTGGGACGCGATTCTATTTATATCCTTCCTCAGTGAGACATTGCCAGTGCTAACAGCCGCATAGCTGCTAAAATGTGATTGGGGATTCTCCGTTTTATCAACTGAATTAGGGACAATAGATGCGGCTGCTAGCGCTGGCAATGTCTCACAGACAAAAGGGATAACTTCGTGGTGGCTTGCCAAGATAAGGAGATCGCCGTAATTAACCTCTCAGCTGTCCGAGAAGAAATCTCGTCCCCAAACATCTCTTCAAGAAATAACAATGCGAAGATGTTGTCCCAATTACTTTTTGTCGCGACATACGCCGCTGTCGTGTCCGCTCAAATAGAGTTCCTGTGAGTACCCTTGCCTAGAATGCAGATCCTCCTGACCCACAATTCCCCAAATTGTGGTGTTAGCGAAGAGCGAAATTAAGCTCAGGAACACCAACAACCGCTAACCTTTCGCATTTAAAGCAACGGAACAATCGTCTGCCCAGGCCCAGGAGACTTTTGCTCAGGCAACATCATCATCCGTTGTGGAAGTGATGGAATCGGCCAACCAGGGAACTGCGATGACAATCTTGCTGGCGAGCCTCCTCTGGGTGTCGGCAACTCAAACTGCTGGGAAACGAGCCCTACGTCCGGTGATGCGGCTTGCAGTAAGAAGTGAGTGTCTAGTTGCGAAAAGGTGCCACAACTGGCTGTTCTACTAAGCAGTCCAGCTGTACTGCATATCCCTTAGTTCCTGTACTACCGAATCGATGCTAATAACCTCTGCTCTAGCTGCAAAGTTTACTGTGGGTCCGGCAATTGCCCCGAAGACTTTACCCTTCCCGACTGCATTCCAATCGGTGCTGCCTCCTCGTCCGCCTCTCCACCTTCCACAATTATCAGCAATTCCGCATCCCCAAGTACGACTACTCGAGTTCCACTACCTGCTTCGTCTTCAACCAATACCCTTACAAGTACATCTAATGCAGATACCAGCACATCTATCCCAGTTTCAACGTCGTCCAACCCGAACTCCAGTGGCACATCAAGTTCGAATGGCGGCACGGCAGTGCCAAACGCAAGCACAGCGGGCCGAAGCTCCAAAACACCCAAGCCAAGCTCTGGCACAAGTACCTCCGGCTCGGGAAGCATAACAACAGGTTCATCACCCTCGGTTCCCTCGGTTCCCTCGAAGCAAGGTGGTTTGTCCACGACCGCCAAAGCGGTAATAGGGATTGGAATCGGACTTGGCGTGCTCTTGGTACTTTCATTGTGCACCTTTGCATTTTGGTACGGTAGACGATCTACAACACGGTGGAGGGAAGAGGTGACTAAATCAAAAGCACTCGAAAGCTCAGAACTGGGACCCGGAATCCCAATTCGGAGAGAGCTGGCAGATACAGGTGTGCCGTTGACGGCTGACGAAAAGGGTGAACTAGAGAGGAGGAGGAGGGCTGCTGAGCTCGGTGGAAATCTGGTTGATCCTGTGGAACTTTCAAGTGAGAGGGCGGAGCTGCAGGCATTGAGAGAAATAGGCAATGCGCCGGTCGAGAAGGAATAATTCTTGCAGGCTGCGAATGTGAAGATATGTTTTATAATTAATAGACAGTTATTTTTGTAGTTTAGTTGTACTCAGACTAGGCGAGCCTAGCATATTAATAGGAAGAAAAATGAAGGAGAAACTGTTGCCAGTCTAACTTCATATCTTGATTTTGTAAATGAGGACTAACATACATGACGCAGGTAACAGCCTTGTAAGATGAATAGTGTAATTGGGCAAGGCTCGTACAACCAAAACAAAGAGTAATGGAGGGAGTGCAAAAGTGGTGTTTTGACTAAAGAACTAAGTGAGCGCAGGCTGTTCAGCACAACAGATTCGGCGCGCAAATATTCAGAACAACCTAATAACTTCGAAATTATTGCAATTCATTTACAGGGGCAATACGGGCAGGTTTTATGTAAGATGGATAAATTGAAAGTTTGTTGGTTTGGCATGACTGGGTATCCAAGTCCTAAGCGAGGCCCTCAACGCATGCCTCCAAGAATCAAACATGGCGACGCAGGAATGTGTAGTTCAACTTCAAAGTCATTCTCCTATCGTAGCCAGTGTATAATTGCATGAGAACCAAGTTTCGGACTAATCTCATCAATCATTCCTATACTACTCGCGATGACTGGGTGGTCTGGCTTGTTTTCGGCTAAAAAAGGGGACCTAACTCGGCTCCGGCGAGGACCCTTGATAGGTGTGACAGGGGAGCTAGAACGGCCACCGTCACGATATCTTAATAGGCCCAGAGATGTGGCTATGTTTAGGTAGTAAGGCCTGTAAAAGTTTATATATAGATAATATGGAAACTATAACCGATTCTCAAGGAGCCAGAAGGGGATCCCCCTGAGCGTGATTTATCCACTCACCTTTGACTCACCTTTGACTCCCTTCCTCACCCTTGCTCACCCTTACTCACCAGTAAAGCAGCTCTGCTCACCTTTCCAAGCAGAAACGGATTTTCTTCATGTTAGGATTGGCGTGTGATAATGCGCTGTTCTTCTGAAATATCGTCCACTATAAATGTTAGGATCTAGAACAATGAGGATATGCCATACGTACACGTTCCGTCAGGCCTCACGGCCTGGAGCAAGGGCATTGCTTTTGCAGAACTGGAACGCTGCCTTCGTGATGAAATCGTAATCGATGGAGCAATTGACGATCGGATATGTTGACAAGGGCGGTTTCCGCTTACAGCGAGCCAGCGACTCAGTAGAAATGCCTGTGGTCTGGGAGGCATGGTTGCCCCCGATCCTATATGAGTGGAATTTGAGGGTCGCGAGGCGCGTAAGTCCAGGTGGAAGGTTACTACCGAGGCCTATAACCCCTGTATTGCCATACCGAGGTCGATAGCGATCCTCTTACCAAAACCCCCCAAAAAATATTATATATAATATTATATTATTACACTTAATATTTTCTGCTTTTAACCTCTTATATAATAAATTACTTAAAATATAAGACATTTATAAGCTTATAAATAATTAATATACTTTTAAAATTATTTTCTTTAATTTAAATTAATTAGAATTTTATTAAAAAAGAGTTTTTTAAATATATAAAATTTTAAAGTTCTTTTTTCAATATTATTTCTAGTTTTTTAAGCTCTTAAACTTATAACTTTTATAATTCTTAAACTTTTTGTGACAGTTCTCGTCACGTCACGTGCTCTGCACCTAATTGGGACTAGCGCGGCTCGCTAAGCTACACGCGTGCACTTTGTACTTAAACTTGGTTCTCTCCTTAAGGAACCTCTTCTTCTTTCCTTACCTTAGAATTCTCAATAAACGATTCCCCTCGCAAGCACTCCATTCGTGAGCAGTGTATCAAAGGATTAATCACGTTAATCAAATTAATCAATTAATGTAATTAGATTATAATTAATGTAATTCAGATTTTTTTTTGATTAGATTAGAATAATTAATCTGATTAATCTGTCACGTGACTATAGTAAATCACTATTTACTTAATAAGTATTAAATAACTAAGACACCTATCAGGTAGCCCTAGTTAGGCTTATATAATAGTAGCTATATACTAGCTTTCAATAATAATAAACTAGTTATTCTCCTATATTCCCCCTTTTTTAATTTAGCTTCGGGTCGCTTACTAAGCGTTGCCGCCCCTGATTAGTATAGCGCTAGATCTAGAGCGGGCAGGAGCGTTACCAGATTAGGCTAGCACGGTCACGTGTAGGATCACGTGTGTATTAATCAGATTAATCATGATTAATCTAATTACTACGTGAATAGAATATAATTAATGAGTATATTTCGTAATTAGATTAGATTAATAGTCATTAATCTAATCTAATCTAATTATTTGATATACTATTCGTAAGCTCCCTTTATAGGTTCGTAATACTTTTCAAGTTATTTAAATACTTATATATATATTAATTATAATTTATATAATTTTAAGAAAAATCAGAGCTTTAATAAGCCTAATATATAAGAAAAAGAGTTTTGGAAAACTTTTAGTAAGATTTGAGTAAAGTAGCTATAAAGCAATTATAAAAGCTTATATACTTAAAGGCTTATTTTTTTTAAAAGCTTAAATATCTTAATTTATATATAAGAATTTCTAGAAATAGCTCTTAATAAAGAATTATATAAATTAATATTTTTTCGGGGTTCTGACAAGAGGATCGCTATTGACCTCGGTAGCGATGGCCTCTGAAAGCAACCTTGTTTGTATCTCTCTTCCATGCATCTCCCCTCTCTCCTCCTGTCTCTTGACAATTTTGTTCTCAATCCCGGAACCCTCGTTGATAAGGCGGAAGGAATACGATCTCTGATTTATTTGGCCGATACGATGAATTCTCGCAACTGCCTGCAGTTCACGATAAAACTCGTAATCCGGCTCCATCAGGACCAGATTCGCTGCTCTGGTAAGCTGCAAACCAGTTCCGATGAGTCTCGTTGTGCCTACGAGGATTTGGAAGTTGTTCTTCTGCTTTCGAAGGCCGGAGTCTTTGTCGATGGCGTCTGTGAAGGCGTCGAGCACTGCGGCGCGCTCCCGAGCTTTCATGCCTGCGCAGATGAGACCCACTCGGTTCTTCTTGTCTCTTGGAAGAACGAGTCGCTCGATGAACTATCTTTCTGTCAGCAAAATGAGAAGTTCTTTAGAGAGGGGGAAATACTTACCAACTTGAGGATCAGGGCAACAGGATTGAATAGCGTCATAATGACGAGTTTCTGATCCTTCGCATCAACGTCGATAGTTTGAAGCAGCTCAAGGATATACTGCTTCAACCAAATACACTTCGAGCTACTCGCCACAATCTGCTTCAAGTAAAGCGAATACGGAGATTTAAACACATTCGTTCCCTTATATTTGATCACCTCTTCTGTCGTTAAAGTCAAGTGGTGTTTATGATGCACGCTTGAAAGCGTCACCAAAAACGGGAAGCTCGCAATGATCCGCAGCCTCCATTCCACCCTACACCTCCGATTGAATGTCAACCCTTTTGGAAAATTTACCGTCCGGTAAACAGGATCCTTGATTCTCCAGCTTTCGAGGAGATCGGCGAATATCACGAGTGCTTCGTCTTCGATAACTTTCACTAGATCATCTAGCTTGGCGTCAAACTTGGGGTTATGTGTGAGGACGATGTCTTGGTGGACGTGCTTCTTTAACTTGATGAGGGGCCGACCCATCCAAGATGAGTCTGCAGTGCGTCGGATCATGAATCGGAATAGGAAGGGGGTGAAGTCGTCTTCAAGTTTTTGGGCTACTTGATGATCTCCAGTTCGGCTCTTGACATGCTTTTCGAAGTTTTTGCAGATCATGTCGAGAGCTCTGTAGTGGTATTGGCTGAGGATTGGATTCTCGTCCCAGCCTGTGGTCATGGAGTACTTGTCTTTTCTGGGGAAGTGTTGTTCGATGGCCCACAGAACTCCTTCAATGCTTCTCGGTGTATTGAGGATCGGCGTGCCAGAGTAGCCCCAGATGAATGGGTTGTTGGTAAGTGGCAAATCAGAAAGTACTCTTGCGCGTCCCTTTTCTTTGAAATATTCTTCGTGACACTCATCGATCATGGCGAGACCAAAGACAATCCCTCCGCTCTTTGCTTTGACCCAAGTGGGGTTCTCAATCGACTTGGCATAAGACAAGAAGAGGCCGCCATACTCGAACTTCTTGACCCAACTCTTGTATGAATTGGGAGTCGTCAAAACAAGATATCTATCTTGGTGAGGTCTCGCAGTCTCCTCGTGATACTTACTGGCCTTGTTGTCGAAAATGTGTCTCTTGGCACTCAACTCCTTGATGTTTCTTGCATGTCGTGCATCCAGATTCCCAAAACCAGGAGCCGGAACTGGGTTTGCAGCGTCATGAGCGACTACTAGTCTCATGGCAAGATTACTCTCAGTCTCATCAATATGTGCAAACCATTGCGAAACCCAGGGTAAGACCAAAGACTGCGGTACACAAGCAATTCTGACACCGGCCTTGGCAGGCCATTTGGAAGTCGGGCTTGAAGAGGCACAGGGACATACAATCCAACCTGGACGTTCATGACGACTGGGACAGCGGTCGCCCTGATGCTGTTCAATCTCATTGAGATGTTTTCGGCCGTGGAGTGCGCGAGTTGCCTCCACTTCTTCCCAGAGCCAGGTTAGCTGCCTTTCCGCTACTATGTATGCAAGGAAAGAAAGTGTTTTTCCGAGTCCCATTTCATCGGCGACGAAGCCACCGCCAACTTCTCTGGAGGATTTCATCTGCCAATAGACGCCATAGACTTGATATTGATATAGCGACGTTTTCAAGCCTGCGAGTTTGACGGTTTCGTTGAGTTCTACCTCGTGAGGGCTGATTTGAACAGTGTGGGCTCCGATAAATTATCGATCGGGATTATCGATTAGTAATCGTTATCGGCTAAGCGATCAATAAACGATCGATATCGATAATTATCGTCGATAAAAGTGGGCCCAGCCAGCCATTAAGCGAGCCCCATCACCTCGATAATTCCATCGAAAAGTGGGCCCAGCCAGCCATTAAGCGAGCCCCATCACCTCGATAATTCCATCGATAAAAGTGGGCCCAGCCAGCCATTAAGCGAGCCCCATCGCCTCGATAATGCCATCGATAAAAGTGGGCCCAGCCAGCCAGCGAGCCCCATTACATGAACATCTCACTTTCTAGTTCAATTATAAACCGATTAGTATTAAGATTAGTATAAAAGTAGACTATTATTACTATACTATTAGACTTTTTAACTTTCTATTTAATAGTCTATTATATAACATAGACTAGCTAGTATTTAATCCAGTTATTGATAATTCCATCGATAAAAGTGGGCCCGCCAGCCATTGAGCGAGCCCATCGATAATTCCATCGATAATAGTGGGTCCCAGGGCCTTGGCAATACTACAGGGCCACTACAGGGCCACTACAGGGCCACTACAGGGCCAATACGCCAGGCCTTAGACCGCCTTTACAGTACTAAATCTATCAATAATAGTGGGTCCAGGGCCTTGGTAGTACTACAGGGCTACTACAGGGCTAATGCGCTATATTTATAGGCCTTATACCGCCTTTACTAAATCGGAATTCTGCTATAGTAAAGAAAAGGTGGTATGAGGCCTATAAATATAGCGCATTGGCCCTATAGTGGCCCTGTAGTGGCCCTGTAGTATTGCCAAGGCCTTAGTTCGATAATTATCGTAATCGATGGTCGATTATCGATTATCGAAAAATTAGCGCGATTATCTAATCGTCGCTTATCGAGCTTATCGGAGCCCACACTGGATTTGAAATGTGCGGCAGCAGTCTATCCAGCGTGCGGACTCGACACTTGGTCGGATTTGGCTCAATTCTTTCAAGTTCTGGAAAGCTTGTAAACTATTTTACAGTCAGCACATTTCTTTAGTGGCATATCCTTGGGATTATAGATGGACTTACCGAGTAACCAAAAACTCATCGGGGTTCTCAAAATCATCAGGCTGCTCTAGCTCCTCCACTTCAGTGTCCTCCAATCTCTCAGTATTGCCAATCTCCTTAAGCCTCTCGACCGAAAGATCCTTCTCATTCTCGCCTCCACGCACGAAAGTTCTCCTGGACACCTCCGCATAGTAGTCCTCGGATGTACCGACTTGCTCCTGAACCGGAGCAACATCCTTCGATTCGCGCCTGAAAACATTCTTAATTGCGGAAATAGGACGTAATGACATAGACGCTCTCGTGCTGACTCTTGATGCAACACTTTCCCTCCTCTTGATCGCTGGGGAAGGGGACTGTGGGTAAAATCCAGATTCTCGTCTTATATTTGCCTGTTCTTGGCCTTTTCGGGACGTAATAGAATCCCGACTTTCGGCTTTCTCCTCCCTTTCCCGCCTTTTCCTATTAGGATCTGGGGCAAAGAGGGCCGCCTTTTCGGGGTGGGTGGGAGTTCCAGTCATAGTCGCATTAATCTTCTTCCCTGCGTTGACAGTTGTGACGACTGCATTTATTATGGCCCTCTTTCTTCTGAGAGGCGGTGGAGTACTAGCCCGAGGGAAGAGGAGACTATCGAATTCCGGTTTGCGCGGTTCTTTGTCTATTGTTGATACAGAAGAGGACGGAAGATAGGGCGGTGTCGGTATGGCCTTCAGGGGAACACTGTCACGATACACCCCAGGGCGTGGTTTTCTCGGTGGCGTTGACTTGGCGACTGGCTCGGCGAGACTGGCCGGGGATGGATCCAGTGGTTTTACCCTTATTTTGGACTTTCGTCCGTTTTGGGGAACACGAACTTGCTCTTTCCCAAAATTCTCCTTGTCTGTCTTCATGCCATTCGCAAAGAAGCTACTCGCAGATGCCAGTGATGATTGTGGAGTGGTGTTGAAAGAGAAATGAGTCTGATCTTGGACTGGGTTTTGAACACATGTATTAGATGATTCGCCCACCTCAATATTATTCTCGTCTGGTTTGCTTCCTGCACTTCTTTGGGGTAGAGGTGGTGCTTGCGCCTTCGAACGTGCCAGAACTTTGACCCTAGTTGCCTCTCGCTGGTTGCGTGCATGTTGTGCTCTCTCTCGCTCTTGCTTCTGCTTTTGGTTGAAAAGCACAGCCTTTTTGGCCTCACTCTCCTTCTTTATCTGAGCTGCTTCTGCTGCCTTTTTCTCAACACCCATTCTCTTTCTCTCTTGGTGGCTGTTCTCCTCGAAAAATGTAAAAGTTAAACTGTCTCCATTCGTATTGTGTAGCAGGTGGGTGACAGCAACTTCGAACTGTTTCTGATTCTCAATCATGTGCTGGGTACCCCTTCCAGCCCTCAACGTCTGATTCGTAGGTCTGGAAAAGTAAACAAGCTTTCCATTTGCCAACTTGTAAGGTTCGTCGCCGCTCACCGCATTTAGGACTTCCTCAAATTCGTCGACGAATAAGTTCAGTTGGTAGTTCCGGACCAGGGCCGGGTCTTTTCCTTCTGGAACACATCGGACGGAGATGATTTCTAAGATCTCGGGGGGGAGCAATCTAAGTTTAATTTTATCGGAAGATATGACTTCTAGTGCGAAAGTTCTCTGATCGATCGGAAGTGGACCTTGCTTCTTCTCCTCGGAGGGCGTCGTGGGTGCTGTGTGGAGAGGAGGGGGCTCAGAGATTCGTGGAACATCCCTCCCGATTGTGGGACTGTCTGCCAAGGCGGGTTCAGGTTTCTTGCCTTCACGTATTTCCTCTTTCTTGGACCGATTCTTGCTCCATATATCAAGAATCAATGCCTCGCACCAATCATTCATCCAATGCGTTGGGACGTTCTGAAAGATTGTGAGCAATGCTGTTGTTGTCTCGGTCACAGTGTCTCTGAAATCCGGACCTCCTGGTAATAATGATGCGTTGTCCAAACCATGGCTATAATACGCCTGTTCAATAAGCTCTTGGATCGTTGTGACTATTTCTTCGGTAGCTTGAAGACCGACTTTGAAGTTTTCAAAGTTCAGGTTAGACCGATTGGGCGCAAGACTTGCGAACCATAGCACTCTCTCTTCCTCTGAATCTGGCCTTTGCCGCAGCTGCTCCGCCATTGTGACTATTTTCTTTAAGGGCCAAAACAATTGAAATGTACTTTTCTGTCGGATAAAATTAGAGGCAGCTCCAGATAACAATAGCAAGTCTTAGTTTTGAGGGAATGAAATGTACCCAGCATTGATGCCACTCCTTATCTAATAAGACGAAATAAACATATGCTCATATTTGTTCCAAGCTCACAAGAGGCTAGGAACAAAGCTTCATTGTGGATTCCCCTCGAGTCGCCGGGTTTGGGCAACTCGTTCAAAGGAACAAAGCACATTAAAGGAGTGCCAATTGGGGTGATGTCACGAGTAAAAAGAACAAAGGCGCTTCATATTTCGGACATTCAGCTTGAGCGTTCAACTTTAAGGGAAGCATCGAGGATCCAGAAATAATCCTTCATGCCGCACTAAAACGAAAGTGCCCATTATCGGTGGTTTCGGTGTACTCGCTTAACCAGAGAAAACTTGAAATCTCAGAACGAGGAGCTTGTCCCATGTTCTATCTCACTCGGGTATTTACTGGCTTTTAATCGTCAGATTTACTGACTCGTAGACAAATAAGGATAATTTGAGTTCTTGCAGAATGTTCTGTCTTGCCGGGGATAAATCCCCAAGTATCAATTGCCAATCCTGCGTGGTCAGTACATTGACAACTCAAGCACTGGTTGGATGGCTAGCTATAGAATGAAAACCATTATACCTGTTCATTTGAGTAATCTCACAAGATAGACCATGGTTAGTGATGGGGACTGCGAAATGAATCTGTGAAAGCGAAAGTCGACAGAGAGCTTGCCAGTTTAGCACTACTCGGGTGGTCCCTCCGCAAAGCACACTCAAAATGCATGACCAATTGATGTGTAATGCATCAAGAGTTGATTCCGGAATACATATTGTGGTTTTACCTGCCTCCCAAATTCAGCCCCTTGAATTCAGAGGTAAGCACATTGTGATGGAACACATGCCCTCACTTCAAAAATGAACGTCGGAGATTGGGTGAACTAGAATTAATCTGAAATTGTGAGTGTCTTTCTCGGTTCATTATTCCATCATAACCCTCATAAATTGGAAATTCGAGCATTACACTCGCTCACCGTCATGCATTCCATTCTCTCTACCTGCTGCCTAGTTTGAAATGGAAACTTGCGTGTAAAAAGAGCCATAAATCAATCTTGGCGGAACCACAGACCGAACGCACAAACTTACAGAAGTTGAGAAGGGGGCCTATATCAGATGCCGTTGTAGATTGTAATAGTTTGGAGAGCTAGTAATGAGATGTTGGTGAAACTAAACACTGCGAGCAAGAAGGATCACATGAAGCACAGAGCCTGCCGAGAGCCGAGGAGTGGGCAAGTGACTAATAGGGGGGCGAAGCACGTGACAACACAGCCTCGGCTACCTAGTTCCAAGGTTGCTTGTCGCTGATCTGGGACACTGAGTCACCTGTCCGTTTGCAAATAAACATCACTCTTCGTTTTTACCTTCAGCAAACCCACATGAGTCGCAAACTACTTACTTGAAGATGTACATCTACCATCCTCTCCAAGCGACGCGTTCGATACGGATTCTGGAACTATTTCCATCACGAAAAAGTCACGAGGCGGTCGCCATCAAGCTTCTCGAGGTTTCACTGGATGACCCTGCAGAGTTTGAAGCTCTGTCGTACTCTTGGGAGGGTCAACCACTTGATCAAAACATTTTATGCGAAGGAGAGAGTTTCCTCATTAGTGCAACTTGTCGAGCGGCCCTGGAGCGCTTGCGGCTAAAGCGAAAATCGAGGATGTTGTGGATCGACCAGATATGCATCAATCAGAACTCTGTAGCAGAGAAGAGTTTACAGGTCGAGCTTATGGGCGATGTCTACAGCAAAGCAAAGCAAGTAATTGTCTGGCTGGGAGTACACCCAACAGGCAATAAACTTGTCCAATTTGCCAAGCTACATCACATCGTCGGCGTTCTGGAAAAGCCGTTAAGGCTCGTGTTCAAGGAACATGCAACAGTGAAGGCAACACCAGGATGGGACATGGGCGAACTCGTTTTTCACGGCCCAAAACTGCAGCATAAAATAGGCCTAATATGGGAGGGTACGTATTCGAAAAGCTCTTGCAACTGCTGATAATTTTTTCTAATGAAATACAGAAAAGTCAGATATCAGCCTTCCTGATTTATATCCAATTTCGTGGTTTGAAAGGGTGTGGACTTTGCAGGAGGTGGCTCTAGCACGGCGAGTCATCTTATTAACTGCTCGAAAATCAACGGACTATGATAAATTCATGTTCGAGTTGAATGATTGGCTTTACACTAAGAATGCCAAGAACTTATCTGGGGAATTGATAAGCAGAGAGAATGAAGTTGGGACCCAACTACTGTTGGCTAGGCAGACAATCCGCCATTGGGTACAAAAGACGACGAAAGAAAAGTACCAAGGAGACAAATGGGGGATTCCGGACGTGAAACGAGATATCATGGACGTGTTCACACGTCTGACGAGATGTTTAGCTTCCGTACCAGTCGATAAGATCTTCGCCATTTACGGCTTGATGCAGAGGCTGGGAGTTCAGCTCCCAAAGCCGGACTATGCTCTAGACTGCGACGTGGTTTATTGGAAAGCATGCGTTGCATTGATGAGACACCAAAAATCTATCCGTCTACTTGAACTTGTCAACGGGTTGCCGTGGCGGGGTTCCATTCCCTCGTGGGTACCGGACTTCAATCACACCATGGCACGCTGGGAAATGAACTTCAAGCGATTCGGAGCATCAGAAGAAACCAAGGGGCCAAGAGGGCTCTCGGCAGATGGCTCGAATGGAATGTTTGAGCTGAAATCCGAGGATCTGATTCTAGTCACCAAAGCGAAGATCGTAGGCGTAGTTGAGGGGCGAATATTTCAACACGTTCGGCCGAACGAGTCCAGAATCTCTGATATGGATAGAGATTTGAGATGGCTCATCGATACAGTGCACGTGCTTCAAAGTTGGATACAGGCTGCTTTGAAACTGAGCCCTACGCAAATGCTACATCCAAGAGACCATCCAACCCCAGATGCGATAACTTGCGTAATCTGTCAGATCCCGGGCATCGCATCACGAATCGAGGTTCAACAACAAACAGAGATTATCCGACTTCTTTGGATGGCCTGCGAGGATGGAATTGGACAAGACTCATTCGATTCATTGTACCGACTTGCAATGAAAAGCTCATCCATCCGCAGATTATTTCTCGAGACTCCTGGATTAAGAAACCTGGCTTATCTTCCTGAAGTAAAATTGGTCCTGATGATTGTATCCCTTGGTCTGGCAGAGACATTTGATCGGCTTTGCAGTATGGCAGTTGGGAATGCATTCTTCTGGACACGAAATGGACACATTGGAACAGCACCACTTGCTGTCAGCAAAGGAGACCTTGTTGCTCTCATCCCCGGAGTTAGAGCCCCGATGATACTTCGCCAGATAGACTCAATTTCGTACCAAGTGATTGGGCCCGCATTCGTATACGGGATGATGGATGGAGAAATGTGGACTGATAAGGTAGGTGGACGTAAGCGAGAGGAGGATAGTAGGGAACCTAGAGATGACCTGAAAGATATTCATTTGGTGTAATCCTGAGTGGACTACCGCAGGCACGCATGGGCTTTCCCAATTTCCTAGTTGAAGGAATACGATTCCTGGGTGAGTAGTGATTGCTGGATGCCGAAGAGGGGAAGGTGTGTTGTGTTGACGAAACTGGTGTAGGAATAGTATTGACGTTATGGACTGTTCTCCGTATGGGGAGCAAATTTGGGACGAACTCCTAAGTTTCTTTCCCGGAGAGAGATTGCAGGATATTTGGATCGGGCAATTGGTCTCGAAGGACGGAACAGAATTCTTGTTTGTTATTAGCCCTTCTCATGAGACGGGAGCAGCTTCGATTCTATCAACTGTCGAGGGACAGTCCACTAGGAGACTTGGCATCCTGTGCGACTTGGTGACTTGGTATAGAAACATCGAATAACAGAGTTATTGAAGAAAATCACTTTGTACTTTAGTAACTGGAACAATGAACTATGGTCCTCTAGAAATTATGATTTTGGCAACTGCCATCAATTGTACTTTCACGATTGGAAACATTTACAAGACTTGAGAAGTATCCTCCACATTGCAATTGTGCCACGCCAGCTTTCAATGCTCCATATATATTAGGACATCCAGCAAGTTCGGGACACAATGCCAATGTTCCCGAACTATCAAGAACAATGAACGTGGTGAAGGTGGCTGGCAACTCGCAAATCTCGTACACACTCAATGACTTTGAAGGGACATTCTGGGCAATGAAATTCCTAATATAAAGCCAAAAGGGAGCTAGGCCAAATGACAACAAATATAAATTGACAATAGCAACAAAAGCTAAAGGAAGACCCCAATCACTTGCTCTTACAAAGAAGCACCCCTGTCGTATTCATGGAATGCCAAACACAAACAATGACAAGCCAAGATCCCCAGGACCATGCCGCAGCCTTGGCCTTCTTCGAATACTATGATTGTATCTAAAGCAGTTGCAATGATGCGTTATAACGACCGCGTTTTCCCGATCTTTACCACACTAAGGCGATTGGGATACTTGCAGTGACTCAAAGTCTGCTTGCATCTTGCATAAAAGAAATAATTCTCTCGAAACAGTAGATGAGGCAGGACTTGCTCAATAACAGCTTCCCAATTGCTGGGGTTTGCTTAATACATAAAGCCATCACCTCACGTGATGATCCGGCAATGCAAAACTTGCACAAAATCCTCATCCACAGGAGAAACTTTCCCGAGTTGAATTCCAGAAGTGAACACCCTATAAAGCCTGCAGATTCCTTCACCTTCCCGAGTACTTTTCATTCAGCCCTACTTGAGGAGTAGATTTGGACGCGGGACAATGGGTGCCATTCGTACTGCCTCGTGGTAGCGATCCAGGCTTAGATTATCCTTGGGAAGCTTCTTCAAGGACCAAGATGTAGACAACTTTTAGGCCCGGAAGGACTTAAAAAGTTGGTTGTTCTCTTTCTAATTGGTGTTGGTATCTACATCCCATTCTGCTGCTTAAACTTATCCCAACTCTCGTTCAGCGTCGCGAACACCAGCGCGGCAATCATGCGCACCTCTGTACTCGCATCTTGCGGCAACTGTTTCCCATTAGCCTTTATGCCCTTTCCCTTCGTCCAACCCAAACTCAACTCGCCTGCAAGTAGGGGCAAAGCATAAACGTACCTTATCTGGATGCGTCTTCCCAATAGCCTTCATATAATTAATCTTCACCTTGTTATTCTGCACCAGCTCATGCATCCCGACCCTCTTCCACCCGGCTCCCTCCCACATAACACTATCCAAACTGCCAATCAACGCGCGCAAATTATCCCTCTTGCCATCTCTCCACTGACTAATTCTTCCCTCGACTTTATCACTAAGAGCGAATTTCTCGTCGTCCGCTCTCTCCGCCTCTTTATGCTGCGCCCTTAACCTTTTCACAGCCTCGGAGTCTTCTCCTGCACCGGCACCGCTGAGATCTGCAAGCGCTGATTTGGGTTTGGGCTTAGGGGCTGGACGGGGTGTAACAGTTCGTGAAGCAGGTAGTTTCAGAGCAAGAGCTTTCTCGCATCTCTGCCTCCCTTGTATGGCATTTGAAGCTCCAACTCCATGCTCCACACACAGCTTCCATACATCACCAGCATCCTTCCATCGCTCCATCTGCTCCAAAGCTTCAGCTTTCCGCATCAGTGCTTTGCCGTAGAATTCCTTCATCTCTTTATTACCACTGCCTTCGCCCGGGCCAAGATCGATGGTCTCGCCATCGCCTCGCGAGAGTCCGATGAGTTCGAGGGCTGTATCCGCGTCCGTGACAGCGGATTTAGGGACGCCAGTTTTGAGACCAGTGAGGGCCCGGTTGCAGAGGAGGATTATAGTTATTGGGTGACGATCAGGGAGGGAAGAGAGCGATGACGAGTAAGACTGGTGTGCGGCCGCGTAGTCCCCGCGTTTGAAGTGTTCCGTGCCCGCCAAGCGATGTTTGGTTGATTGATCCCTTGCAGATGTGGAGAGATGTGGGATTTTCCGGGGTGGTGCTTTAGGTCGGGTCGGGATTGGAGTTGACGGTTTAGAAGGGCCTGGTGACGGATTTGGAGACATTCGAGCAGGTTGAGCGGGTCTTGATGGGGCTGAGGAAAAGAGAAGATCCGGCCCGGGCTGTGGAGGGGCGGGTTGCGGTGTTGCTTTCTTTCGGCGGGCTGGACTGACGTATGCCTGCGCAGATTGTTCTTCAATAATCTGTTTACTTACCCTGGAACGTGGATCGGGGGCTGTCTGTTGCCATCGAGGAGCAGCTGCTCGTTCTGGCGGTGGTCTTGGCATAGCTGGTGACTGATCACGTGAAGAGTCCGAGCTTGACGGTGTAAATCGTGGTTCAGGGGCTCTTGCTTTCCTTGGTGGAGGTCGACCGCCACCCTCAAGCATAAGAGCTTCATCGGTGACCTCGGGAACCTTTTCTTGCGGACGTCGACCACGTCCTTCCGCAGCTGCTCTTCTCTCCGCTTGTTCTCTTTCAGCTGCCTCTCGCATCCATTTCGGCTGGCTGGAATCTTCCCCCTCTTGCTGGAATTCAGCAACTGCCTTTTGAACCTTCTTCTGTGATGTCTTCCATAACGAGTTTGCAGTCTTAAGAAAATTACTTCCTACAGCCGCTGCAGTTTTCGGAATATCTCCATCCCCGCTTGGTGAATTATTCTCTTCCCGTCGAGGCTGTAACCGATCTCGATCTTCCTCTCTCATCCAAGCGCGAGTATTCTCTCGCCTTGGTCCATCTCTAGACATATCCCTCCGTTCCCCATTTGAAGCTGAGCCATTTCGGCTTGAATCTTTGCCTTGTTGTTTTTGCTTCGCCTGCCTGTGTGCATCATTCAAGATCCATCCCACGGCAGCTTGAATATCAAGACCCGAACCACTTTCCGTCAAAGCTCGCCGCGACTGCTCCGCCGAGAAGCCCATATCTACAAGCTCTGCCACCGCTTTATCCCAAAGATCATCCGATTCCTGATCGGAGGTTGGCTCCGGCATAACCTCTCGTTGGATAGCTGTACTTGGCCTCCTGACCTCCTCCACCGGCTTCCCTAAGTCTCCCAAAAAGTCGTCGTCGTCGTCATTAATACTTGGTATGGGGGCAGGCACAGAGCTGCCTTGCTTCATTTGCCCAAGTCCAAAAGGGTCATCATCATCTCCCAGATCTGCCCCCAATGATCCAGATTGTTCCCAAGCTTGCGGCTTAGTCAAATCTGGAGGCTTGCTTGTGCCAAATCTTGGTGTATTTCTGCCATTGCTAGGCACGGAAGGAGGAGGGTAGTAGCTTGCATTATCAACCTTGGTATCCGCATTGAATGCTGCAAACAGATCGTCGTCGTCATCGTTCGCAGGTGTCGAGTTGCCATTTATAGCTGGGGACGAAGCACGGGCGAAGTTCGGAGGTAAAGGTCGAGTCGCAGGAGTGGTACTTCGTGAGGTTACAGCAAATTGTCCTCTATTCCCCAGCCCTTCCCAAGCCTGAGAGCCGCCAAACTGTGATTCATATTGCTTTCTCCTCAGCTCTTCTTGTTTCCTCTTCTCTGCCTGCAGCTTTGCCTGTTGTTCTTGTAGTGTAAGAGTGTTGGGTTTCGAGGATCCAAAAGATACCAGATTCGAGAAGCTGTCTGGTGTTGACGATTTGGGCGGCGCAAACGGAGAGGGCTTCGGAGCGCCAGAGCCTTGCGCAGATATTGGCGTGCTTCGACCTGACAGTTGAGGAGGGGGCGTGGGCTTTAATGCTGGGTAATAATTCCCTGTGCCCTGCGGTGCTCTGTTTGTAGTTGTGTTCGGAGTCGCAGACCAGTCTAGACCGCTCAAATCATCCATCTTGACGCAGAAAATATATGAAATTTATGCATTTAATGTTAGTCGGAGTTGTCGTAAAAGGCATTGAAGGTCGTAAATATGAAGAGTGGCAAGTGATGCTCGTCCTGTATGGTTCCTCCCTTTGGGCGTTTCGCTGGCATATCAAGTTGCGTCAAGTCTGGAAGTGGCGACCGTACGAGTAGTTTAACGCGCGGTTATTAAGCCATCACGTGTCTCTCTTCCAAACTTCTCTTTCCTCAATCATCACTTTCATCCAACACAGTACACTCATTTTGTATCGGCTTGTATCTTAATTGTGCCACATTCTTCTGAGTTATAGGCTTGTTATTCAAAATCTTTGTACTCGAGAAGGCTCGGCACTGTGAAGCACCAATTTTTGAGCTTTTCGCCCAAATCTCCCGAGAGGTGAGATGTCAGCCCTCTCTCAGACGATCCTTGTAGGTTCAATAGTCGTTTTCAGCTCAATAGTACCATTTGCTGAATTACCGCAGGACCATATACCCAGCTATTTCAAGCAACGCGAGATCTTCGTCCCTCTCATTGTTGGATTTTATGTCGTGGTTCTGGGGCTTTGTTTGACAGGAGCCCTCCGAGTCTCCAAAGGACAGCAGGATAAAGCACGAAAGGAGAGAGGCTCTCAATTTTCAATGCTTGATGAGGATGAAGATGATGAAGGCAAGGAATCGTAAATTGGTGGGAATGTGACATTGGGAGGAGTTGGGGGAGGGTTTAGATTTTGTTGATGTCCAGCTTTAACAAGCAAGGACTGGTCGAATCTGTACTCATGAGGGAGGTAGAACCATCTTCGGTGAGCTAATGCGAGGAAAGGCTTCAAAGACGGGTCGGAAGGAGTTGGTCACATGACCACATTTCGTTCTTGGCCCTGATGCTTCTCAAGACTCACCTTTCCATAGCCTACATGTGGAAAGGTCAAAGTGATGCATGCAACATGCTGCATTCCTCGTCAATTTTCCATAGCCTACATGTGGAAAGGCCAAAGTGATGCATGCAACATGCTGCATACCTCGTCTATTCATGGCATATTCAGTCATCTCACAAGTCAGCACAAGGTTCCAAGGATCTCGACGTTTCCATAAGAATACAATGCTCAACAACTTTCGAGCAGGTTTTGCGCGTCAACAAACGAACAAATACGCCTAAGATCTTATCTTGCCGAGCAAGTCGGATTCTTCCAGAATTGCATGAGGTTCGTAGTCGGACGAGGTCAGTGCAAGTTACACCACTCTCCCGGGAATTACATCCTCCTTCCCTCTTCAGGAACGTCTCACATCGGATAAACTCAATGACTCGCGGCGCAAAACCCGTTTCTGGATACCATGGACCTGGGAACATCGAGCTCATCACATGACTGGGGCAGCTCGCATGGCACGATGGCACAGCGGCTGGTAAAGCCGACTGTGAGGTAGAAGCTCATATCTGTTTAATATCTCGATACGGCTACCCCATCTGTTGGAAGCTCGTTGCGAAAGATGTGTCGTGTTGTAGTCTTGTAGACGCTGACTCGTGGGGTCGCATCTCTCCCGCCCCGAGCTGGTTTTGCAAACCTCACTCGAGTCGGGGTCCTCGAACTGGATCGCGACGTGAACCGTGAGGGCCAGATTCTGACAGGCTTCGAGGATCGCCAGGGCTGTCGCCCCCCGCATAAATAAAGACACGGCTATCCTCCCAGAACGGCTGTCCACCTCCTCTGGCTTCATGGGCTGCCCACACCGCCACGCTCGAGCACCTCGTCGAGAATCTTCCTCCCCATAAACCCTCCCTCCCACGTTGGCTCTCCCAAACGGACGTGTGTCTTGGGTTCTTTCTCGAAGTCTCCGAGTCGAAGCGACACTGCTCCAGGGATGTTCGGAGTGATGTTCTGTTCCTGCATCAGAACGTAACATCGGAAGCACCCGCCATCATTGAATCCCTGCCCATTATCTCCCACTGGGTTACGCTCGTCACATCGCTGGGGAGAGGTGCAGCAAAGCAAAGCCGAGCCAACCCTATCAAGCTGACAGCCGGAAGCCAGAGCCAGCGGAAAGTTCAACGCGCTTCCGCGCAGCAGAGAACCACCCCACCGGTCTTTTGTTGGCGGATCTTTGGATTGGCGTATTGGCGCCCAGCAAGGGCCCTGGCGAAGGCAATAGAAGCGCGTCCCCTGAGTTGGGCCGGGAGTTGATGCTGGTGGGTTGCAGCAAGAGAGGGAGTCAGGAAGCTCTCGCTCCCATTGGCGGTCTGCGGCTCGAGCAATCCAACTCCAACAACAAAGTTCATCCCATCCCATCTCCTCCAAACTCCTTCCCACAGCTGCCAGCCCTCCAAACATCTCGACCAACGTTAAGTCGACCACCGCCGAGTCACACGGAGACCTGTATCTGCCATTGTGTCTGCCGCCGTTCTCCAATCGGGATCGCTCCAGACCGCCCGCCCGGCTAACTTGACAGGTGGACGAGCACGAGCACGAGTCACACAGACTCGATAAGCCCGCCCATCATTCCTCGATAAGTCGGAACCACGACGTCGCCTCGCGCCATGGGTCTCTTCTCTCGCAAGAAGACGTCTGGCTCCACGACCTCGGACGGCTCGCGCAAGAACTCTTCCAGTCTCGCAGACATCGGCTCCATGTCCTCTCAATCATCACTCAAATCCCCCGTCACGCCCGGAACCCCGGGTTTCTCGAAGATGGCGAAGCCAATTGCCCCTACCATTCCCAAGATCAACCTCCCCAGGGCGCCAGATCCACACGTCGACCCAGCAGGATACCTGCGGGGCATTGGCGCCGTGCGCGAGAGATGTCTGCCGGTGCTGGAGAAGGCGAAGGCAAACCAATTGAAACATTTCGATGTCGACATGAGCAAGTTCGACAACACCACGAGATTCGTCGTGTCAATTATCAAGGTGGCATTCCTGCTGTACCACCTTAATTAACGAAGCTAATTGTCGGTCTTGTGCAGCGCGATTTCGATCCTGATTATGCAAGCATCCCACCTCACGGCCGCTGGCAGCACTTCAACGCCGGAGGACGAGACCGAATCGCAGAACTGCTTTCGAGCTGGCCACAGGAGATAGATCCCTCGGAGCGATGCCGGCGGCTTATCGACCTCTTCCTCGTTTCTGTGCTGCTCGATGCGGGGGCTGGAACGGCGTGGTCGTACAAGAGCAAGCAGAATGGTCGGATATACAAACGAAGTGAGGGGTTGGCCATTGCGAGTTTCGAGATGTTCAAGGATGGGCTTTTCAGCAGTAATAAGCAGCAAAGACATCAAGTCGATGCGGCAGGATTGAAGGAATTGACGGTTGAGAAGATGGTAGCTGGCCTACAAGTTACAGAGCAGAACCAAATGTCAGGGTTGGAAGGACGCGCCAGTCTTCTTATCAGACTGGCAGATGCGTTAAATAACGACACTCTCTTTGGCGCAGATGGCAGGCCCGGAAATATACTGGGTAATTCCCCCCTCTATATCATTGAAAGTAGAACTGACACATTCAGATTACCTCCTCTCCCACCCCACAACCCAAGCTTCCTCCGTCCCGATCGTCTCCCTCCCAACCCTCTGGTCCGTCCTCATCGACGGCCTGGCACCCATCTGGCCCCCCTCTCGCACTACCCTCGATGGGACCTCCCTCGGGGACGCCTGGCCACTCACCCTCCTCGCGCTTGTCCCCGCAACGCAACCCTGGGAAACGATTGTCCCATTCCACAAACTGACACAATGGCTCTGCTATTCCCTCATGCAGCCGATGTCCAAGCTAATGAATATCCACTTCGCGGGCGCCGAGCTGATGACCGGGCTCCCAGAATATAGGAATGGAGGGTTATTTATCGATACGGGTGTCCTGACGCTGAAGAGTGCCGATGAGGAGAGGGGGCTACAGAGGTTTAGAGAGGAAGGCTTGAAGAAGGGGAGTACGGTTGAGGTTGTGCCAATGTTTACTCCTGATGACGATGTGATTATCGAGTGGCGGGCTGTCACGGTGGGCTTCCTGGATTTACTGTTGGAGGAGGTGAATACTGTGCTGGGATTTCAGTTGACGCTGCCGCAAATGCTGGAGGCGGGTAGTTGGAAGGTTTGTTCCCCTTGCTCCTTTGATCTTGATGTCTTGTGCTAATGGAAAGAACAGGGAGGCAGAGAAATGGCCGAAATCTCCCGTCCAAATACGCAATGCCCGCCAATCGCAATCCTCTCCGACGGGACCGTCTTCTAATCACCTCCCTTCTCTTTCAACCCCTCTTCAACTACTTCGCCTTCTCACCCTGTACCTTCTACGAACCAATTCAGCCACAAACCCGCTGGAAAGGAATGGTCTACCACGATGGTTTCTGATCTCAATCAACAAAAGTTACTGTATGCTAGTGAAAGTGTGAAAAGATGTGTGACCCGATTTGATTGCTAGATGGCTTAGTCTAGCAAGGAGAGAGCAATCGGAGGATGATCCTTGAAGCAGACAGGGCGGAAGGAGATAGCTAGATACCCTTGATGAATACTATGCCAATTGAACGTTCCCCTTCCCGATCGATATAACCAATTATGCATTTGACATGTGAACCCGCTCCGTGCCAGGCTGGAGAGGCTCTTAAGCGAGAGTCCCTTCGCATATGCATATGCATGTGGCCCACATAGTCCCTTCAGCTCTTCAAAGTCTTCCAACCAGCTTTCTGTTTGCTCAGCAGAAGTGATGAGCTTGGGTCTGCATGAGTTCGATCCGCGGACCGCTTCACTCCCACAAGCCTCAAACTCCCTTGTATTCCCCTGCATTCGATGACAGCTCACGTATAGGCTAGCCGTTCGCTACAAGCAGTGTTTAGGTTGAACATGCTTTGGGTACGGGACTTGAGAATGCTTGCTTGGTTGCATGGTTGGGTTGGTTGTTTTTTTCTGCAGGCGGGACAATGGGAATAAAGGGGGAACGACAGTGGAATGGCAGTTGGCAACAATTTTTCATCTGGTGATACTATACCATGGTAGGTGTGACTGGGCGATTTGTTGTGTTTCTAATCATAAATTGACAGTTACCTGCCCGATAAAGAGGCAGCGAGGGATAAGGCGATGACTGGATCGATGGGATTTACCCCATGGGTTCTCCTTGCATGGACATGTGGCGCAGACCGTCGGTTTTGATTCCCTGCTCATGGTGCGTTGCATGTTTTTATATACATCAGCTGCGGAAGAGGACTGGGATTCTTGGTGAGATTGGCATCCCTGTTGATACTGTAAAATTTGCTGACAATGTCCCCCCCTCTCTGGACAGAAGTCCTGCATATCTCATTCACAGCGCACCGCCATAGCCAAGAGCGTATAGTTCCACGGACAGGTATAAAAACTGCTTCCTTGGGGAGAGCTAGCTAGAAGAGCAGGAAACTTTCTATCCGTGCAGGAGACTTGGCCCATCTAACTGCTGTTTGAGAGATCCACCCTCAGACAAGGAAATACCTACCCTCAGCATCATTCGAAGTTTTTAGTAAGTTGTGTGCCTTGACTTGAGTAGTTCTTAATTCCTGCTGTTAGGAGACGAAAATGACAATGAAATGGAAAATGACAACAATTCTCATCTGCAATATTTCTCGGTGGCAGGTTCTCCCACAGCGTTCTGTGCTTCGTCATCAACAATCAACGATTTCAGTATGCTAACGAGCGATTTGGAGGCAAGACGAGTTTGAAGGACTGATCGATGGGCTTCTTACCGCGGCTTTTCCTAAATGGGTTTCAAATACCTCAGTTTAGTTGCGATTCCTTGTGCTGGTGCATTGCAGCCTTTCCATACGCCCTTCAAGGTAGGGACCAGCAGGTCACTCGTGGCTATGCGCAGATGTTGACATACCAGGTAATCTCACATGGAAATGTTCTCATGGCATTCTACATTTTCGTCTTTAGACTTAAGCAGTCGCTGCTCCATCTTGAGATACGTCCTGGTGGCTTGAGCATTCCGCTCAATCAGCCAGAGCCTCCGTAGGAGATTATTTTCCGGCCGTTTAAGAATCAGGTATTGGTTCCAGGTTTGTTTGTATATGAATTTTGTAGTGTCTACGGTCCTAACATAGCCATCTCTTTAAACCTATCGAGATTTTGTTACGGTGTCTGTCCTCGCCTCTATGCCATACTTATCAATAGTCTCTACCAACACTGATAGAAACGAGGTTAGAAATTAAAAGGTACGGTATCTTTAGGTATTGGTATTTATACCCTAAGCCCTGAAACATGGCTGTTATATCAGCGATACTCAATGGAAATGTTCTCACGACACTTTCCATTTCCGTCCCTGGACCTGAGCTGCTGCTGCTGCTTTAGCCTGAGCTATGGTGAGCAAGCTTAAGCCGAGGGTGAGTATTCCTGAGCACTGCCTAAGCACACGCTAAGTAAGACTGAGCATGCACTGAGAGGCCATTTTAGCTCCTAGAGGGGCTCGTTCTGGCTCCTCTGATGCTCGGTTACACTTTCCTCGCTTGTCTCCAGGCACAGATCCCATTTTGGCTCCCTTGCAACCTTAATTTACCAAAGAAGATGTGGCCTCGGTTTACTAGACGCGGCCAACGAGGTAAGCTTGGGGAATGACCTTTTTCGCCAATTTTTGTCTGCTGAAAGCTGCCCAAACACGGAGGTTCCACGACCCTGTCATTCCTTGCTTCGCATGCACTGCAGCCTCCTGTGGCTTTTCAACACACCTGCCTTTCTTGTCAACTGTAGGAATTGCAAACATGCCCGCTGCGAAATACGCTAACTTGTCAGAAGGAAAGTAGCCTGCTCCCCCTGGCCTGGTGCTATAACCTGCAACACCTGCACGGATGATAATGCAGAGAAGTTTTGTTCGTGTCTCAAGATCTCCATACCCTGTAAATAATTAATTACAATGCAAAGCTTTGGAACTGGGGTCAAGCTTCCATATCTACATATCTTCCCGATGCCTTCGATGAACGTGTCTAAATTCTTGGTTGACCTCGTCTTTCCAATCAAAGCACACTATCATCTCAATGTTGATTATAATGAGCAAAGAGAGAGAGGAAAAGCGACTCCAAAGAGAACTGGGCATAGTTTTCAAAACAACTATCCTTCCAGATCAATGGCCAACGCACCTTTTCAATACGTTTCAGCAGGTCAGATCTTTCCAAAAATTCGACATCTTGACCTTCCCCATGGGCGACCTTTCCACCTCATCTCATCAACTTCTCTGGAGAGGCGAAACAACAAAACGTGCAAGGGAGATTGTTAGAATTGCAGCAACTCTTATCGACGATGCGCCTGTCGAAATGGACACGCGACTGCGATTGGAACAGGATGTCTTGCGTCGTTTTTATCTGGCTATCGATTGGTAAGCTGCGCTGTCGAAGCAGGTATCTCATGTTCTGACATACAAAGCATATCCTGTGGTAAAAGACTGTGGAGGCCAGAAGTAGAAGTAGTAGTGGAGTGTCCAGGTGCTATCAAAAGGAATCTAGATACTCGGCGGGGAAACCGCCGACCATGTCAGTGTCCTGAGGCGCTGAGACTATCGAATTTGTAAGTTTTTAGCAACTAACTTAAGGCATTGTCTATCTCATGCTAACGTTGCGCTATCCTTGCAGGAAGGAGACCGACACAATATTTTCAACCAGAGCGGATGAAATGATGTCGTTTGATTTCTCTGAGAACCGGTCCGAGGAGCACCTCAAGAACAGGCGGCCTGATCGAATTCTCGGGTTCCAGGAAACAAACAGCCTCAGTCGCCGGTTTGCCCAACATGATCTGATGGCTGGTCAACTAGGAGATGATCCCGCACTTAAGACTTTATGGGAAACGGTGGAAAGTACAGTTTTAAATCATAAAGGAAACGCTCTTCTCTTTCCCTTTCTAGTCATCGAGGCCAAATCAAGATATGGCGCCTCATTTGATGCCTGCAATATACAAACTGCACAGCCAATTTCGAAGATGCTTAAAATACAGGAAGATCTACAAGCGAAGTCTCAAATGACACTGGAGTACGGAGGGCCACTCCTATGGTATATTGCTTACAGAGGAGAGGGCTGGCGACTATCCGCATGTTATATCTCTGAAAAGTCTGACGAGCATTTATATGTAAGCATACGGTTGAATTACATCCGTTCAATGGCATTGCTAATTTAAGTAGGAAATTGTCAACCTCTGGAGCGGCCAATTGAACGACGGAGACAGTGCGCTGCAACTACTTCTCATCATTGACTACATATACGACTGGGCCCGCGATGTATTTAGGCCTTCAATAATTTCCCAGCTAGCGATGCGCCGATGCTTGCGAATCCTACTCAAGACAAGGGCCGAGTCCACGACAATGGCTTCACCACGGCTGATACCGACAGCGATGTTTTCTCACTTGGCAGGAAAAAACAAAGAAAGGATATTGAGACTTGGGGTGCCGCCGTCGAGGACACTACAGAGGTGATGCTGGAGGAGGAACTCAGCCTCATTAAGTGGGCGACTTATGATTCATCATTAGGCGTTTTCCGCCCAGGATGTATTGTCGAGTCCTTGTTCCGATGCCTCTGCATTACCAAAGAGAATGTTGATGCACTATTCTCAACCCTACCGAAAGGACGCAGTCCTAAGAAGCTTGCTAGAAACGCAGAGAATGTCTTAAACGTTAACCATGTTCTGGTATCAGAAGATGTACTTGGGAGGATGGAAGAAATTTGGACTAACAGAGCCAGACGGCGTCAATGCCAAGATGTCCCAGAAAAACACTTTTTCACGACAATCAACTATCATGCATCCTTTGCTGGAAACTGGGAGCTGAAGAGGGTCATATCTTGTCTTGCGTTTGATGAAGAAGCGTTGAACCTACTCCGCCAGTACCATGGACGAAAGTCGATCCCAGTCGCCATCAAACGTGCCAAGATCTTAGGGAAGGATAACGCAGAAACCTTGCTGACTGTCTTGAAAAATCAGACAGTGCAACAAAACCTCGCATCAGCTTTAGCTTCACAAAGGCAGGAACTACGCCCTGTAGCTGGTGTTTCATCCTCACGCCTTAGCCCTACTTTTGAGTTTGCAGACCAAAGTCGATGCTGGTTTGATGACAAAGGCTTCAAATGGGACTCGGATACAACGGCAAGTGAGGTCATAGATCAGGTGTATGATTGGTGCAAGAAGGGTTCTGAAGAGCCAACACAGCCATACATTCGATTCTCTCAGCAAATGAGTTCGCTGACTGATAACTCCACCGATTCGACTGTCGCAGCACACTTTCCTAATTGCGAACCTAGGCAAGACGAGCAGTATGTCCTAGCAGCATCGCATATATACGATAAAAGGTCGAACGAGTCACCTTTACATCTTTGCTTGTATGTCGTTCCCGGTCAGATGGAGCCTCCGAGCAAAAAGCTGCTAGAACAGACTTTGCGGAAACTGCTTGAGAGTGACTTGGTCTACTTGGTCAACCCCAAGCCAAACTCTTGGAAGGACACATGCCAAAAATTGCGGACGGGGAAGTTCACCAAGTACATATGGGACGCTACTAAATTGTGGAAAGACGAAATCAAACAACAGCTCACTTCAAGAGATCCTGTAACATTACCCGCTCTCGAAACTAAGCCTAAACCGATATGTGGAAACCCTTCGCGACAACACACTCGGTCGCTATCTCCATCTCCTTCACCAGGACCTACATCACCTTCGTGTATACCTCCGCTGGTAGAGACTGGCAACTTCCTGAAACGGCCATTCGAGGCTACAGATGGGGATGAGATTTGGGAAAGCGAGAAAAGGTTCAAGGCTACCAATGATTGTGTGAATGATGAGATCATAATCATCGATGATTGAAACTATGAGATTAGTATGTTCGACTGGCGTCCTGCTATATAGAGGCTAGAAATATAAGAGAGAAGATAAAATAAGAAGAAAAAATGATTCTCAAAAGGTATTAACAAAAATATCCTTATAGATCCAAAGTCTCTTGATCTATTGTTATATATTAGCAGTGATATATATGCGATCCTTATTGGGGTGGAGGGGACTTTTTAAGCGCCTTATTAAAAGTTGATAATCTCTAATAAGGCTATTTTTAGCTGCGCTAAGCCTGAGCAGGCCTGAGCAGACCTGAGCTTAAGGTGAGCCGACCCTGAGCTGACCCTGAGCAAGGCGGCGCTGCTCATGTGAGAATGGTATTCAAACGTTGGTCGAACTCAGGTTGCACATGATTCCAGATCGCCCTACGAGTAATAGCTCCTGGAAACACGCAAAGCAACATGTTAGCCTTTCTCCAACTTCTTGAATGGACGTAAGTAGTGCCGCAATATAAGAAACCTGAAACGGACGTATTTTATGAAATAAACAACACCAAAATAGGTAAATTATGACAGCTTGATGACAAGGTCTTCTACTTCGTCTCATCATTCAAGATGAGGTGCTCTGTAGGATATATCGGCAGCGTGGTCTCGTCGCCTATGTGCCGGCATGGATCTTGGTGCCAAGCCACAAGACATTGGCATTGTTCACAAAGACCAGAGACACTTTCATTTTGAGGGAGACTTTGTGTTGGCTCCGCGTTCATCACGTCTCCTGGACGAAGAGGATTGTCATGTGCCTTGCCACCCAACCGTACCCCATGATGCTGCTTGTGCATTAGATCGGCGATGTTGTTGGAATCGATACCCACGTACCTGATCCTGCATGGCCAAAGCTCTATCCTCAAAAAGCTCCGGGAAGCTAATATTGATCTAATTGCGTCTCGTCAGAATCATGATCGCTGAATGGTGGGAGTCTGATATCTATGAAAGCGTTGAAGCTTGTTGTGAAAGAACTACACGTGCTCGGTGGATCAAATGGAGGAAAGAAATAGTCAATTTCCCGCCATCAAAAGGAGGCATAAAATTAAGCAAGCATGAAGAGGGCGTTGTTTTCCCCTAGAGCAGTTTTGCAGAGCTTTCAGCGCCAAAGCTCTTCCTGGGAGTCCCTCTACCAACGATACTTCACCGCTTTCAAGCAGATCTCCAGTGTGGGGAAAAAACTACTCAAGCTACTCAAGCTACTCTAGAGTAGTCTTGAGTAGAGTAGAGTGGAGTAGAGTTTGAGTAGCGTAATGTGGTGCTTGAGTAGCGTAAAGTAGTCACGTGCTAGTTATATAAATCTGGTAAATTATTATTTATTTAATTATTAATAAATAAAATAAGATACCTATTTAGTAATACTATATAAGCTAAACTAAAACTTATATAAGGCTACTTAAAAAGACTTAATAAGAATGCTTTTGAAATAATATCTTATTTAAAAAGCTAGGAAAAAGAGAAAAAATATTATATAAAAAATGTTTTAAGGAAAAGTATTAGTTTTTTATAAAAGAAAAGTAATATTTAAGTCTATTACGTAATTTAGATATAATAAGAATACTTTGAGAAAAGGATTTCTCCCTGGTAGCTAAAGAAGCCTAAAGGTATTATTAAAGTTTATTTTATTTACTAAGCCTCGCTATTACTTAATTAAGTAAAATACTAGTACTAGGCCTGGGTTGCCCTAAAGCCTTACTAAATTAGGCTAGCTTATTACGTGAAATACTACATATAGCATTATGTGCATATTACTCAACTCCTCTAGAATATTCTAGAGTAATTAATTAGAGTATTATAATAGGGATATAAAACAAGTAGTAATATATAGAGTTGAATAGGCTTCCACAGCATGAGATCACGACGTACGAGTGAGACGTGAAATTAATGAGTGAAGGTTGGTTTGTTTCTATAACAGAGAAGGAAAGAGGGGTAATATATGCGGACTGCGGACTGCAGATGTTCGGAGGTCACATGACAGAACCATGTGACCAGGGGAGAAATCCCCACCACAGTATGAGTAGTGAGAAATATATTTGAGTAGAATATAAGTAGGGTTCACTACTTTACTCTACTCTACTCTTTTCCCACACTGCGGGCCATGTCTCGCTTGCTCGCCTCACTTTCCGCAGCCAGTAAGTCGACGCCTCATTTTCCTCAAATTGACGCCCTCCCCAAACCAATAAAGCTATAATTAGAGCTATCTAAATAGGAACAAACTTGTAGTCCCGGCTCTCGCCTTAAAGTTCTTGTGATTGCGCACATACCTTTTGAAACTACTCAAATTCACACTTCATTTGATAAGTGTGTACGACGGTCGCGGTCAAAAGTCTAGAGATTACAGAGTCCAAGCGCTATAATACCCTGTAATCTTCTCAGTCGCATACTGAAAGTCACTAAAATTATAGGCTTCCAGCCTTATTATAAGGCGCCTGGAAGAGTCTTTGTTGATTTGCACACATACCACGCCACGTCGTAATAGCCTAACACTCGCTAAAGTGGCCTATAAGTCCCTGTGGATTTAGCGACTTAGTCCCTGTACTACAGGGATATGCCCTGTAATATCCAGACTTTTAACGGCGGCCTTCGTAGGTTGATTGATTGATTGATAGCTATTTACGTCCAGCGGAGTACCAGAGTACCAGTGAAACTCGTTATCCTGTGACCTCCCGAAGGATATGAGGAGGTGCTAAGCTATGGAATTATAGTACATAATGTGCAGACCCCAGAATGCATTTCTAGTATGAGCGAACGTGCCAATAGGCTGGTAACTGTGAACCTTCCCCGCCGGTTGGGATGGCCACCAGAGTATACGTGAGAGGGAGACCCCCAAGAGTTGCTCTTGGAGAGCGTGTGGTGTATAGCTGAAAGGCCTAGGTTCGGAGCTGAAGAACACAGCGCGCGGCCTTCGTAGGTAAGTGTTGAGAAGGCAACGCAAAAGGTCACGTGCAATGGTTCTCCGATGACGACGGTCCATTCTACGGTGATCTAAAACCTATTTATAGACACCCAAATAACCCCTATTATCCCTGAAACCCCCTGTTTAGCTGAATTGCCACTGCCAGCCCTAGGCACCCATTTCCAACAGAAAGGAAGGGGTGCGTTTGACCACGTGATCTTCATGATTTCCTCTCTTTACGTTCACTCCCCAAGATTCACCGGCCTTTAATAAGTCTACTGTAAGCCACTTAGTATATTTAACCTTAAAAAACAAGTTAAGAACTAGAACGAGGGTGTTATGCTCGATTTGTCATCAAGTGATGGGTATAATATAGAGCTGGTTAGCGGCGTTTAGATAATAACATGACAGTTCCTTGAGTAATCCAGGAACAGAGGGGGGCGAGGGCGGGGCGACACTGACCATCACTCGACAAATCTATATGAGTAGTGCTGTGTCAAGCTGTGACTGAGAATAAAAATAACTGAGTTCGTTATAAGAAAACCAAGACAAAAGAATACGCCAACACAAGTATTGCGCACCAGTCCTGTAAACCCAAATATTTTCCGGCATGGTATCAGCTGGAAACTGCAGAGAGTATCTCAGAAACCCATTGCTTCAAAGTCTGTCCACCCTCCATCGTCGCCTGCTCTATCCATTAATCCCATAACCTACCCTTTCCATCACAACTGGGCTTGAGACTCGCTGCGCGACCTCTTGAACCTAGACGCCAGGACATCCTCAATAGACCTCTTCAGGTTCTCCGTCTTCTCCAAAAATGCTTCTATAGTACCGTACAGCACATCATTCACTAAGATTGATTGGTCGAGCTCCTCTTGCAGGGCCATGAGGGTCATTTTGCTACGTTGACGGAAGGCTATTTGAGAGATACGGTTTTGCTGCCTGCGCTTTTCTGACTTGTCGGCTGCTGGTGGAGATTTCGCAATTTGGCCCCGCCCCTGTGAACGCCTCGTTTGGGCTCGAACGGTTTTTGGAGATGGGGAGACTTTCGAAGCGTTATTTCCCGCTGCAGGTGAAAGTTGAGTCCCAGCTACTTCGGATGCTGTGGGTGCCCCCTTCACTTGGGAGCTTGAGGGGGAGCCGTATTGCAAAGTTTCTTGTTCTGACTGACGAGGTTATGTTAGCCTTGATGATTTCACTCGGGTTAGAGCACTTGTGGTGTAACAAGGAGAAATACCCAGAGTAGAGGATCAAGGGACATTGATTGACAATTTATTTCATAATCGGGTGGCCCAAGTCTTGCAAGTGTTGTTGGATATTGAAAACTATTGTGGTGAGTGTCCCAACCACAGTATTGACCGTATCCGTCTGTCATGGTTCTGAGGATTTATCTCGAAACAAAGACAGCAGAGTCCTCATGTCTCTCAATGGAGGTTCGAGGGATTTCATCGTTTCTATATTCTCTATTGAGGCTCGTCGGCCTAGCAAACTTGTGAGAAATGCAGAAGGCATTTTTAAATCCGATCTCGTTTACTCTTAAAGTTTTGAATATCCTTTATTGGCGATCTCGAAGAGCCTCGCGTTGAATTAGGTCATCAAGCGGTAAAAAGTAATTGTATGAGTACTTTGTGTTCATGTTTCAAATCACGAGCCTTTGTGCGAATCGGAAGCAATTCCTGAATGATCGAGATTTAGGGATGCCTCTAAGTGGCAATTCAGGTAAAAACCAAGTTCAGGATGCATTATTCAGCTACGTGCATGATGGAGGGTGCCGTGGAGTGAACGCTAGACGGATACGGAAGTGGCTGTCCGTTTTTGTGAGGTTTCCCGTGGCTGCCGCTCAAGTGCCTGAGACGTAACTAATCAGAGCATTGAGTTCGTCCCAGCCCAATCCCATTCCTTGGGAAAAAGAAACCTTCTGGGGAGCCACAGAGTTTTGGGCTCACGGCCTGTGTCCCATAAATTTTCATGGCCTTCTTCTGCCTTCTGCCGAGGTGTACTGCTGCAAGTGATGCGGAGACATGATGCGACGCTGACTCAAATGGGCAAACCAGACAAGTACCACATCCTTCCAGCCCCTTTTTGGAAACTCAAATGAACGAAGCATGCTTCAACACACCTGTCTGCCAGCGCAATCCTCCCAGTTATCCGAAACAGAGGAATCATCATCACCTTCGGACAGTGGGGGGCCATTCCAGCACTTAGAATTCATTGCAGAAGAAGTCCATGTGAATGACCCAAGCCAATCGCGTAAGGAAACCCACCTGTCTGTATAACTGATAATACATTGCTAACCTCATATCTCGATCGAGCATAGTGCAGTCCCCAGTGGTAGGTTCCTCGATCCCCTCCGGTTCTTTCACCTCAGTGGACCTTACCTATCCCGCATGAAGCTAAAATTGGCATCCAGAATCTACATTTCGTCCCCGAAACGGGGACAGCCCGCCCCCGCGGTACACTGCGAGAACTGATCCGTTCCAATGCACGGCGTAAGCCACGTCGTCGACCAAGACAGTCGAGCCGAGCAAAGCTCAAACCCCGAAACGAGGAGAACGACAGCAAGGATGCAGATGAAGTCAGGTTAACCGGAAGAAGCCCTGTCATTCAATGTCAGTTGGAAGCCACAAAGGCCCGTTTACATCGCGGTCCAGAATGCAATGCTATGGATCCTTTCTATACCTTGCCCATTTCAGAGGTTGGCCAAACTCAATTCTTAACCTATCATTGTGAGTTTCTACTCAATCTTTACTTTGAACCGGCCGCATCAAAATCTTCTGGAATGATGTGAAATTAGCAATCTGATGCGATAAGACCCCCAACCCCACTTTGCTGCCATTTCCAGTTCGTTGCATTTGAACTGATCAAATACTTGGTGGCAGATCAAACAGTATTCGCTGAAAGCGATTGCCCAGTCAACCCAAGGAAAGAATGGATACCCTTTGCCATGACAGATCCGGCACTTTTGCACGTAACCCTAATGTTTTCAGCATGGCAACTGGTGGCCCTTCAAGGGAAACCGCCTCCCCCAGTAGTAATGTATCACAAAGCAGAGTCAATCCGTTGGCTGAACAAAAGTCTTCTGAAGACAAACCACGTTGCCACAGATGCATCAATTGCCGTTGTGGCAAACTTGACTAAGTTTGAGGTTTTTAGCCAATTCCGCCACAACTTCATACTTAACTAATAACCTGGTGTTAGAATATAGCAGCAAACGCACCGGGTGTCAAAGTACACAGTACGTAAAGAACGTATTTCTTTATCTCATACCCGGGCTCTTATTTTCCCCTGCTCAGAGAGATGTCTCATCCTCCCGGCTCCCGCCCGGCTCTCTACTCCCGCAGAAAATGCGTTGCTAAGTTGTCTTAGTGGACGGTCTAGAGGCGTTGATAAAAACCAGAGGTGGAATACAAGCCCTGCCTGTGCATTCACATACAAGAAAATTGGCCACCTGGTTAGTGAAACCCCTATTTTTCCTATCCGTTATGGTATTTCCTAATTATTTAACCGCATAGGGTGGACGTCGAGGCCGCAAATGTAATGGAAACCCAGCCACGCTTCAAATTACACATACAGGATGACGAAGAACGACCGGAAAATTGGGGACTGTACAGTTCACTGGCCATGTTATACGAAGCCAAGCTTTTCCATCTCACTGGCTTGCAAGAGCTCAGTAGGGAGACGATGCAGGTGTATTGGGCCATACGCAATCTCTCTTCTCTGAAAGATTCCGCGATTCACTTAACTCGGAAAGTTGAATTCCCCTCGTGGAGTGACATGCTGGAGAGGATTGGTAAGCCTATTTCCATATCAATTTGATAGCAACTCGGTTTGAGAGCCGAGTGCCTTGGGACTTGTTGGGAGCTACCGTGGCCCTTCATGTTGGGGAATTGACTCATCCACTCCCGGAGATCCCTCTTGAATGTAAGTGAGTTGTATATACTAACTTGGCTTTTAAGAACGTCGAGTGGTCGCATTGCTCCTGTCCGAAGTCGTCAGATCTGGCAAGCCGAAACTGTCCATATTCATGCTCTTCGCGAACGCTGTCATATTCCACATCAACATGTTCATGCGAGATCTTCCGCGGGGCTTGCCCTTTTATAACCTACTCTCCGATCGATTGCGAGTTAACTTAGAGGCTGTCGACCTAGTATATCTGCATAAGGAGTATCCTGAAATGATACTTTGGATTCTGCTGATGGGTGGTTTGGGGAGCTCGGGCACTCCTAATCGTCGATGGTACGCTAAACTTTTCGCTGGGATCTGTGTATCTTCGGGGCTACGAGGAGGGAATGCAATTTCGCATGCATTGGCCGGGTTCCTCTGGACTGAATTATATCGGACGCCGGTGACTAGCGGGTTCTGGAATGATGTTGCTAGGGCTCAGGGAATTGAGGGAGGCTACGACGTAAGGACACTCACAGCGCATGTCTCAGTGGCTGTTTTTAATGCACCCCCGGATATGTCAGAATAATATTAATCATGATTACTTTCAAGTCCACTCATTCCCTCATTGCTAACTTGCTCCTCGGACCCCCTGTCTCCTATTAAAAGAAATATAAATAAGTAAAATTATTAATTAAATAATCTTTTATATAATAATTTTATACTTTCTTTAAGCTTCTTTAACTTTATTATAAATTTTAAAATAAGAAGTTATAATCTTGCTTTATAAGCTTTATTTAATAAAAATAAAAAGTAAAATTCTATATAATTATTAAGGAAATTAGAGATTTAGTAATAATTATTATATTAAAGAAAGCTTTAAAAACTTTATTATTAAAACCTTTAATTTTATTTCTCTTTTTAGTTTAAGCTTTATATTAAATTTATTTAAATTACTAGTTTATAATAATTTGGCTTTTACTTTTAGCTTTTAATATTATAATCTAATAATAATAACTTAAGTAATTCATTATATCTCTTAATATTTATATATTATATAATCCAGTTTTATAATAAATATAATAAAATTACTAATAAGATACTTTTAATTTTAATATATTTAGAATACTTAAAGTGGAATTTACTAAAACTAATTATATAAATAATAAATTTGATTCAAGTAAAAAAGATATTTTAATAATATTTTTGGAAAATAAAGAGAAAGAGAGAGAGAGAGGAAAGAAATAGGGGGGTGCAGGGTAAAAACAGTAGAATAATCGTTTAGTAAACGATTACTAATCGATTATAATAATAGCTAATCGATTACTAATAGATTGCTCAGCAATCGTTGCCGAGCCTAAATTCCCCTATCTCACCGCTTTTACTTTTTCCCCACCTATATTCAGTATCATGTGGCTATATTGATGCTGGATTTTTTTTTGTAGCGGTTCTCCATGATTCTAACATAGAATGCAAAAATAACACTCAATGGTTGCCGCTATAAAAACAATCAGCTGGTCATTCCGACTACTTCTCTTATCTTTAGTAGCTAATGTAATGCCATATCCGGTTGGGATTACATTGGGCACACTTACTTGTAAGTAAATCGAGATTGAGGGAGACCCTGGACATATCTCAATTTTTTTCAATTGAACTAAGTGATTGAAACAGGAGTTCCGCTTACTACACCGACGCTGATGAATTGGTCTCCGTTGCTCGCGTTGTAGCTAACCATGAATGGCAGTCATTTTTCTCAGAGACGTGGAAAGATCCCAAGAATCAGGCGTTAGTACAGCCGTGCTTCTTTTGGACAAAATCAATAGCTCACCGTCCACGTTATAGATCACTGAGTGACGCGGAGGTAGCCTCTCTCTTTAGAGCGACATTGCAACAGATCAAGACTGTTACTATTAATTCTATCGTTGTTCCTGTCCATATTGGAATCACGCTCTGGGTACACTGAAACAAGCCGCGATTGATGAGGGATTGATAATGGAGTATCAACAAGTTACTGGCAGCCTAAACGCAGATCGACTTGCGTACAATATGGATTCGTGTACGGAATTCAAGCTGCCACCAAACGAAAGTTGCGATCTTGATTACACCAATTTGGCCCTAGTCTTCAATTACGAGCCCGAACGCCTTTCAGTAGCTATGCTCGATGTTGGGCGGTATATTTGCAAGCCGTATAACATTGAACACTACTCAAAGTTTGGAGAGATGAGTGGCAGTATCGTAAGTGCTCACCTTTTTTGTCATTGCACTTTCCTCTATCTATAGCAAGTATACTTAGCTCACACAATTCTCTTCTCTAGCTTGACCCCGCCCGACATCAGGAGTTATCTGAAAATCTCAAGCTTTATTTAGAAGTATTCAACGCAGGAATGAGAAAGAAGTGGTCTTATCAAGACGCACTGAGTTATCTGCGGGCCGTTGTACTAAGTGGCGAAGCCTCAGACTCAGGCATGGAAGAGATGCGTCTTGCTCTTGCGTCTGCTCTCCCAGAGTACCAGGACAAGTTTCGCATGTCGTTAGATTCCCATTTCGTTGGCGCTTTTGGAGCTGCGCAGAGGGCAAGGCATATTGTGCAGAATCCGAAGTTCCTTTCCCCGTCAGATCCGGGGTATGCACCTGGGAATCCGGGCGGACATGTACACGAAGAGTTGTGATTAGTCATTTGCAGCTACTACGATGTTGGAATTAGCAAGAGGCGAGACTGTGGTAGGCGAATAGTCTAAAGTTCTGACCTTGGTTGAGTAATCATTACAGCCAAGTTTTGTTATTATACCTATCATATCAGTGTGCCCCTGTCAACCCCTGCAACACCCCTATTTTGCTCGCGTAGCATTCTTAAAACATGGGTGTATGCCCAAAGCAGGAATTTTGAATCTCGACTCTCTTTTAGATGCATAAGCACCTTTTCAGGGCAAATCCAGAGAGGGTGCTCATATATTTGAGAAAGTGATCCCCTTCTAGCCCCCTTCCCCCGCGCTTAGCAAGCTAATTTTTGTAATTTTATTGTAAAGTAAGACTTTCTTTTTCGGCTATTCTTTAGCCCCCGGCACACGCACAAAAGGTAAGCAAGAAGCATGTCCCTCTCTCGCCCCTTGCAATCGCTTAAAAAGTATATCCTCAAGGTACACGCGTAACGGCGTGCCCCTAGCCTATTAAGGTCCTAGTATTAGTAGAGATAAGCTTTAGAACTCCCAGAATTAGCACGATGGCTAGGTGCAATACTACTTACCTATCATTGTCACACGTTCATATGCATTCGCTTCACCAGGACCGGACGGAACATGGAAAGAGGTTCTGATTTCGAATTAATCTGATTCACGGGTGCCAAAGTTGTCGGGACATAGCTGCCTATTCAGGCCTAGCTCTATTTCAACTCTGTCCCTACATATGAGGGCATTCCCTCTTCTCTACTACTGAACATAAACAAATCAACACCAATACAATCGTTTCTACTGTTCTATTCGTTTGCAAACCCTGTATTCCCAACACTGGCCAGTGGTTAACCATACAGTTGACCACAGAACAGCTAGGTTTATTCAGAAGAGACTCGAACGCGCTCAGTGTGCGAAAAAATTAATCAGATTAATTGATTAATTCATGAATATTCATGAATAGCGTGAATAGAATTTGATTAACGTGATACTTATGTAATTTGATTAGATTAGAATAATTAATCATGATTATTCATGAATACCTTAATTAATATACACGTGACTACAGCACGTGATAGTCTAGCCTAATTAAGTAAGGTTCTTGCTCTAGCACTGCCTTAGCGAGCTTTTCTCTCTAGAAGCAAGGTAGCACTAGAGCCTGATTCTTACCTAATTAGGCTAGCCTGTCACGTGCTGCGGTCACGTGTACATTAATCAAGTTATTCATGAATATTCATGATTAGCTTAATTAATTCGTGAATAGAATATGATTAATGAGAAAATTTCATGAATAGATTAGATTAATAGCCATTAATCTAATCTAATCTATTCATTTCTCACACTGAACGCGCTGAAACGAAAGGATACTTGGCGCTAGTATCGTGAGAGTGCTAAAGATCATCGAATCTTATCATTATACGCTAGGCGTACTTGATATAAGGAAGATAATCAAGACTGTAAAGCTCCTAGTCGAACTGCTAGGCAGGTCGAATAGCTCAAAGCACCAGTGCGTCCATCACGCAGAACAATTACCGTTCACGACGTGGAAGAAGAACAGTATATTGTCTATGCTGTTGCCAGGCATACCAGGTAGATGAGAAGACTTATTACTCTCGAAAGAAACCAGAACGAAACCGAACAGCTTACGGTAAAGCATCTCTGCCAGCGTTAATTACTTTAGAGAATTATCCACGGCACTTGAACACCATCTGCCATATCTATCAACTACGCGGACCTCTTAATTGAGCCTATTTGCTATCACAGCATCTCTCCCAGCGTCAATTACGTCAGACACAATTGAAATACTATCCAAACGATTCGAATCCGATATCAGAACAATATGGCGCCTGCACTAGAGCCGACACCAGCTCCTAAGATCCTAAATCCCCTTACGAACCACGACCTCCAATATTACCATGCCGACGTAACAAGATGAGGCAGAGAGGTAGATCTTTCAGCTAAAGTAACAGAATCTATTGTCAATACGTAGCTCTTAAACCGTATGGAGCTATACACACAGCAGGAATATGGAGATAAAAATCTATTGGGAGTGTATCGTGAGGACTTTGAGCGATGGACAAAGGAAACCTTCTTAAAGGGAGATAAACATCTGGTTCGAATCTTCCGCGATTATCTTCGTTCATGGGGAGTATACATACCCGAGAACAGTGATTCTATTTCCAAGAGCCTTGCGGAAACGCTTCATGAAAAAACGGCCCGCGATCTGGCCACAGGAGGCACTCGAGGCACAGGCTACCTGATGGGTCTTGTCGCGTCAACTGGTGCAGCCACCCTCTCAGACAACTTTTTCAACATTCCCGGCCTTGGAGTAGGTACATATTCGTAGAAAGAATGCTACACCAATACTACAGAACAGGAACACATCTATCACAGCAACGCCGGCCGCGTACGAGATGGTGATCTTCAAGATCGCTGAGAGCTGAAGTCAGCCCGTCCACGACGATTTTAAATTGGGTCCAGTGCTGAGATCTGCAACAAACGGCTCAAGGGACAAATTTCTTGGTATATGGATATCCGTTCTGATAGTCAGTCAGGGATAAAGCATTGATTTAGGATTCTTATACAAATTCTTCGGTCAAGGGTGGTGCTTTAATCAAGCTGTCCAATGAACACCAAACCGCTATTATGCAAATTAAGGTTCCACGATCAGATAGCCTTCCCAATATTTCATACTCATTATCATTTATGCTGCTATTCATAGGTTTATGTCAGAAGCAGAAGCCTATTTCCTCTATACACCAACCAGTAAAACCAATGAGACAACCGGAAACCACATCAGCCAGCCCGCTCCTCCCATCAAAGCAGCTCCACTCGCCACCCCATCAACCCACCCCTTCGATTTCGCTTCCAAAAGCCCCTTATACCACCCTTGTGCCATAAGAGTGTAGCCCACATCATCAGGGTGGAGACCATCGACTTCCATTCCCACCGTAACTTTAGACATCGATACGACCAATGTCCTATTCCCCGCCTTCGCCCTCTTACTCACGACACCCGCCACCTGCCCATTAAAGACCTCAATATTATCTTGTGTAGTATTAATTGCAGACGGCGTTAAAGTTGCTACCAAAACTGCCGCTTTTGGCCACGCAGTGACGATTTCGTCAATGAGAGCCCCCAATCGCCCAGGTGCTCCATTAGGCGAGATGTTCGCGTTGAACATGTCGTTCGTCCCGGCCATGAGCAATACGATGTCTCCTTCTAATGTTCCATTCCAACTTAGGGGGACTTTTGCGTAGTCGCCGATTTGTGAGATCAGAGCTCCAACGTGTCCTTCATTGGCATTGTTTGGTGGAGGGAGGTTTCCGGAGGTCACTGAACCGATGTAGGTTATTTTTGGTTTTGAAGTTGTAAAAGTGGAGTTAGGTGAAGTGAGCAGAGTGAGCAAGGGAGCTCGATAACCAGAGCCGTTCGTGCTGCCATAGCCCCAGGTTATTGAGTCCCCGAGAGGGAGGATGCGGAGATGTGTTATTGCTTGTGCAGGAGATAAGAGTACTGTGGACTGTAAGTGAAGTGCTCGCAAATGGAGAGTAACGTATGAACTTGCAAGTTATTGCCAAGAGGAGGAGATGGGACATGATAGGCGGTGAATTTATTATCATCGTAACTAAATGCCTCTTGACAATTCCATGGCAAGATAAGCAAGTGAAGCCTTAAAAGCGACCGTAGGAAAGGCTAGCAACTGATACAGGGACCTCACTGTAAACGAGCACCCGGGAACGGCATTTCCATGAGATGAGGGATTAAATCGAAGAAAGATAAGGTGACTTCGTATTCCAAATCAAGTGTTTGGTTAATGCAGTGCCGCGTGTTTTATGCAGTGATTCTGTCCAGGCCCAGTCTGTGCAGATCATGTCGATGTGACGCTGATTTTTGGTGATTGTGGCGTGCTGCCCGGACCGGACCTCTCAGCTCAAGCCACCCCCGCTGTTGATGGACTCAATAGAGACCCTGCATATGCTCTCCTCGGGAATATAATTCGCCTGCCGAGTCGAGAGAATATGCTGCACAAAACCCAAAGAAGCCCAAAGTCATTCCTTTTCAGGAGGATTCCCCTCATGTTCATCCCCAGCTCATTGCAGCATGCAGCTGTTACGGACAACAATTGGAGACTTCCGTTGACGGTCGGTGGTCCAATTGACTTTATCGCACCGCCAACCGAAGAGCGGCTTAACGTTCTTGCGCCTTACGTCACCAGCAAAGCTCCATTCGATGAGCCACAAATCCTACGGGTCCTGTACCCATTGTTGCCGTCAAAAACCTCAGCTTCCCTTGACGTTTGTGCAGGTCAAAAGTAGTCTTGATTGCTCTCAGCCTCCTGTGCTCAGGTATTAAACCACTCTCGTCACTCTCTTCTAGCTCCACGATAGCAGTGGCAAATGTGCTCGCTACATGGGAATCCCAAATTCCCTCTTGTCTTGACATGGATCGCAGATAATTTATCGCTTCGGTGCGGATAGATGTCTCTCGGCACTTTGAGGCAATGAAGAACAGCGACTTGATCAAAATCGACGAAACTACGAAGGTATGCCCCAACTTGGAGACTGCAACGTTAAAGAGTGTGCCTGCTGTTGAAAGCGCCGTTCGAAATTCCGAAACGTAGGCATCGTATGTGAGCTCGGGGCCAAAGCAACAATGCAGAGCTACAGCACTGCAAATAAAATTAAGGAGGAGTGTCTTGGCGACTAAGAGATCCTTCCCTCCCAGATTCAAAGACTGGGTAAGAACAGGCTGGAAAGCTTTGCGCCAGGAAGTGAGTCCTTGTTTGAGGAACTTCACACGCTGTTGTTGATAAATTGGTGAGAAAATGGCGCCAGTTGAATTGCCGACTTGAAATACAGGTCTCGGTCCGCTCGAGGGATCCGAATAATCCCACAATCGCTCATCGATATTGTACACGAACCTGTCGACTTGTGTTAACAGGATATCGAAAAACTTCCGTGCCGCATTCAGGTCGATAAACCCCTGGGTGGGAATGGCTTGGATGATTGCCGCAGCGACGTTCTGGAGGTCTGGGTGCATTTCGACAAGATTCGCCTTGTGCCATGAATATATGTCACGCTCGAGACGGGTAAAGATCGAAATGAGCTCGTCTTCTATGATTCCCTGGAGGAATTGTTGTCCATCAAATGAGGTTAAATGCATGAGACCGAGGAACCGTTCATTAACTGCCCCAATTTCGGTTAGCCATATCCGTGACAAGGCCAATGGCTGACTCGACCAAGCATAGTCAAGTGAGATTTATTTATGGAGTATAGCTAGAGAGAAGGGAACTTACTTAACCTGATGCCATTTTGGACGTGTGCTATTGCCAAGTCCAAGTTCCCGTGATAGTACTCGAAACAGACGGCGAGTAGACAAGCAATCAGAATTGTCCTCCTGCTTTTGCGCTGTTCTTGGCATGCTTTGCGTATTCCTTGAATAGTTATACCATAGTATCGAAAGGCAACCTGATAGTGGGCGCTTCCAGCTGCCAAAGCCCTTCCAGACAAGTTTCCGATGGCCGCTGTGACGTCGTGGCTCTTGTTCAAGGCCCCAAGAGCAATAATCGCATGTTTGATAAATTGATCTTGTTCTGAAGCTTGAAGCACAATATGGCACCATATAGGTGTGTCGAGATACTCTCCAAGATTGCGGGAAGTGGTACCTACAAATACATTGAAATAGCTCAATTCCTGATCGTTGGTGGACAATGGTTGAGCAGGAGTAAGTGCCAAGGGGGTGACAGCCGTTGACATAGGTTCGATCTTGGGAACCAAAGGAAGGAGGCGCTGTGTTGAATGCGTGGGTTTTTGCTTCACTTTGTAACCCCACACTCGAGCCGGAAATTCTGGCATCGTATGCAAGCCGGTTTCGTCTCATCGCACTTTACACGTCTGGCCCTATGCTAGTCTTCAGAATAATCCATTATCGATATGTTATACCCTATCGCGGAACAATGAACTTACTTGCAGGTGACACACCCTGATCGAGATTTTGAACCCGGCCCACTTCTCTTCCTTACCTCCATTCTTCCCCGCCCCGCCGCCACTACTCCACAGCGGCCGTCCTATCTGTTTCCTGACGAATGATGTTTGATCAAGTTTTGAATGGCCCTAGAATGTGTGGCCAGGGGGTTCAGGGACATCTGCAGGTCACTAGAGAAATTGCAGGCTTCTCGGGAGCCGGAACTCAATTCCGAGGGTTTCGACCACAAATTGTGAGTCTTCACAGTTGGTGGCTTTAACGTATGAAGCTTAGCAAGATCTCGATTTTTGAACAAACCAAGAACTTCAAGCGACTTGCGGCAAAAGGAAGGAAAATCGAAGGTGCTGCTCAATTTGGACCTGTGATCGAATTGAAAGTGTTTCAGTCGTACCAACGCCTTCGCTAGTGCTTATGCGAGAAAAACTGGTGAAGTGGTGAAGGAACTACGGAGGTACAGCCCATAATGATAGTAACAGCACTAGCAGGGGTCAATAGAAAACTCGTGATTTCAACACTCGATAACTTTTGCTATACAAAACACAAAAAGTTTGTTTAAACGCTGTAAATATCCATAATAGTGCCGTATAGTAGTGCTACGTTTTTTTAAGTTTTTACGATACGTTGTTGTTGTGATACCAGGTTGAAAAGTTCGGACCCCTGCTAGCGCTATTCCTATCATTATGGCTGTACCTCCGTAGGTCAGCCTTATTCTTATGACGCTGATGATTGGTTGAAAGTATGATTGGTCAATTAATAGAGAACATGATAGGGAAGACAGGGAAGTGAAAGGAAAGTTGAAATATCGTAAGAAAAAGGCGCACCGGATATCACTCCTCTTCCTCTCCTTACATTGGGGCAATTTGGGGAACAAGGACCCTACCGGTCTCTTTTCCCATATCAGTACTAAGATTCTTTTGCCCTCATATTTGCGCAAACAATCCATATTCGACACTTCTCAAGCTAGAGGATTAATATTCATTCTGACAGCCGCTGTCTGATTTCCAGTCCGTTTTTTAAGGTCTCTTGCATCATGGTTCAACCGTGGGCAGACCAACCTTTCACTCTGATATCAACTTCAAACGCAACCAAATCTACGGCAAGCGAAAATGCGATCTATGTTGCGGACGGAAGTATGTATTCCTAAAAGCTCGTTCTCGTAACTATGCTGCATGCAAACAAGCAAGCTCTCCAAGTCAGTTTTGGGGCCACACCTCACCATAAGAACATTGTACATTTTCCAGACAAACAAGCCGCTAAGTAGAAGATGTTTCAGTAGTCAACGCCGACAATATATTGATTCGCTGCATCGATTCAATCTACCTTCCAGTTCTAGGTCAAGGAGGAAGCAGATATCCAGGGTTTATTACAATACTCACTATTCGGGTCAGTAATACAGTCATGTGTCTTTCTATATCCCATGCTAACGACTCTCAAATAAGAGGGAGGAATAGATTCAGTCAGCTCCCTAGTATACCAACATGGCAATCTTTGACATGACGATTTTTAGTTGGCATCACAACGCTGAAGAGAATGTTTTCTTTCCAGAAGTCGTGGCGATTACTGGAGAGAAGGGAGTTATGGGCCGGAATATTGAGCAAATCAGTCTTCTATCCAGGTATGGAAGCGTGGTCGCAATACACATTTGAGTGCATGAAGAAAGGAGGGTCTCAGAATTTCGACACAACTTAGGTTAAGAAGCTCGTCGATGGTTTTACACCATACCAAGTCAAACATTTGAGTGAGGAGATTCCGACACTGTTGAAGCTTAACAAATATGATATTGCGGCAGTGAAAAAATCATTTCAAAACTGGGACAAGCATATCCAGGCGGAAGCAGACGCTGTGAGTAATTACTTAAACATATGCTCCAGTTTGTCATTAACAAGAAGTCGTGGAGCATCTATCCCTTGGAATGGACAACGTTGATTGGACTTATGAGGGAGGGAGCAACTTTCCTGAATTGTCGTCTTTCGTTTCCTATCTGGTACACTATGTGTTTGGCCGGAAATATCGTTCTATTTTCCAATCCATTGTTTGGAAAGAAAAGACCACTGGTGTTCTTCCCAGACGATGGTGAGGAGTACGAAGGCGGGCTGCATTAAAATTCGTCCAATTCGCTAAGCTAGGGCGGGCACAATCTTGACCCTCGCAATATAGAAATTCACATAATTCCGTATTATATTTAATTATTACAAAAATTCTACAAAAGTTAGATCTACCTCTTTTATATCTCACAAAGCTATTTTGAAGAGTTTTAAGTGTTGAGTCGAGATTTGGTATGATTTCTAAACGTAGCGATTTTGGTATGCCTCGCGTTTTAGCGGATGGACGATTTTTAATGCCACCCGCCTTCGTAAATAATGCTTTTGTTGTGGCCTGGCTTAGCATATTTACTTGAAATCAATTTCAAAGCTTGGCTATGAATGTCTGACGTGCTACACATGGAATTCTTTCGGCGATTGGGTTGCCCTTATCGCATATAGAACCTCCGGGGGCACTCGACCCGCTGTAAGATCTTACATGCTGCAGATGGACATTTGATCGCGCAAGAATTTTGATCGCACTGCGGCTCGCCGAGCAGTAAAAAGCAGTGAATGTACAAGATATTTGCTTGAAGTGGAAGATTGAAGGCATTTGGTTTGCATTAGTCTTTGATTTTCACTACCTCCAGGTATGATGAGAAGTCAATGTTATCCGGGAGCCCAACGTTTATGAACTCTCCCAATATTTCAAGTCTACCAAAATGCACACCATCTCTCTTGAAGCTCGCCTCAAGGTTGATTGGGTGACTGCGAAGAGGAACTTGGCAGCAGAAATTAATCCATTGTCAGCGTAATCGGAGGAAGTGATTCAGATGAAGGAAAACACGCTTTGGAATCTCATTAAACGTTTGGCTGCTTGTATTTTGAATGAACTGCGACATATTCAAGAATTTGACACTCCTTGCTCCAGGGAATTTGGCTTAGTGTTTTTGAACATTCTTTTCTAGATCTCGAAAGTGAAGGCACTGTGCAGCTGAGTCCACCATCACCACCAGTACGGTTTGTGCTGCGGTCTGGCACCGGAAAGACTTCTTAGAATATTGCTTGAAAGTAGAATTTGATGCAGTTGTGCTTCATTAACACCGCGCAACAATGTCTAGAGGAGAAATCCCTGGGAATCGTGGGACTTTGGGAGCTTTGTTGGAACTGGGTGTACGCTGGCACACTGTAGTTTATATACCGGGTGTATATATAGAGTGCTTACCCCGCGTGAGCTGAGAAATCAAGTCGTCAACCTACAAAACATTGCAAAAGGTTATAAGCACCGGACGCTACCTCTACGCCCTATATTTACGCACTATAAATCACTGAATCGGCTCACTTGCACCTACCGGAAATATCCTTCAGAAGTATACTATGGAAGACGACTTTAGTGTGGAAAAGCCCCGGATCGCCAGGCTTACAGGGCCCAATTATAGGCCCTGGAGCGTTCAGGTACGTAGGCTTTTGATTGGTCAAAGCCTATGAAACGTGGTTAGCCTAGGGGTTGAAATTGCTACTGTAGAACCGGGTTCTACAGGGGGTTCTGGTTCTGGAGATGGGAGCGATCCTAAGGCCTCAGGGCCTTCCGGTGATCGTACGGAGGTGAAGGACGCTAAGGCGAGCACTATAATCATGAGTTTATGTGCTCAGGGGGCCTTACAGCATATATTACTCCTTGGAACGGCCAGGGAGCAATGGATGGCACTGGAAGCACTATATGCCCCCCTGGGCATGCAGTAGCTTAGTGCTAAAATTCAGGCTTTTACCAGCTATAAGCCACCGGAACGGGGTGCCACTGTTGCTGTGGTAGTCACGGAATTGAGTACTTTACAGTACGAAATCGGAACCATCGATTCTACGGAAAGGCCCTCTAAAACCCTCAAAATATCGATTCTTTTTGGGGCTATTAGGGCACTGGATGAGAGCTTCGCTCCCCTGATATTGCAGCCGGAGATTAGTGGAACCACCACTAATTATAGTGCAATAGTAACTCGCTTCAGTGAGCATGAACGGAGAATGGGTCCAAAAGAAGCCCTGAAGGAATCTGTTTTACTGGCCAAAACAGGGGGAAAGAGCCCTAAATTTCAGGGGAAGTGCTTCAACTGTGGTAAACAAGGCCATAGAAAATCTGATTGCAAGAGCAAGAAGGTAGAGAAGCAAGAAAATCAGGAAAAGAGCCCTAGTACAGGGCCCTTAGCAACCCCTGGAGGAGGCAGAGGACTCTCTCCAGGGCCTGGAAAATCAACTGAGAAGCCTATAGCGAATGCTAGTAGCGCTGCAACCAGTTGGATGGCTCTAGCAGAGCCCACCTATAGTAAGGATTTACTATGGGTCATCGATTCTGGAAGCTCCCGGCATATGACTTATTTACGGGAGGCTTTTACTGAGTATAGGGTGCTAGACACCCCTATACTAGTAACTACGGCAAATGGGGCCCGGATTCCGGCTATTGCGGAGGGTACTGTGCTTTTGCAGGCGGCCCTAGGGGCCTCCGTACGAACTGTAAAGCTTACTGGAGTGCTTTACGTACCTAAGCTCGCTGGGAGCTTAATTTCGGTACTGCAGCTTCAGGATAAGGGCATTACCATACGCACTACCACTGGTTCCACTGGAAAGAAGCTCTTAATTGAGTTTCAGGGAACAGTAGTAGGGGTTGCTAGCCGCTTAGGGAGAGCGTACGCCCTGGACAGTGTCCCACAAGGCACTGATATTGGGCTAAAAGCAACCACTGTACCGGAAAACCAAGCTAGTAACCACCTCTGGCACCGCCGGTTCGGACACTTAAGCTCCACGTGCTTAAAGCTGGAACACACTGTTTCTACAGGGCTTAAAGAGCCTATTGGGGCTCTTCAGGAGCCCTGCGAGCCCTGTATTAAGGCTAAAACAGTGCGGGTGGTGAGCCAGAAGGCCCCTGAGAAGGCTACAGCTCCACTCGAACAGACCCACAGCGATTTTTGGGGCCCTTATAGTGTACCCACACTAGAAGGGGACACCTATATGCTTATATTTACGGACGATTATACCCGTAAATCGTGGGTATACCTCACCAAAACTAGGAAGCAGCTGAGAACTGTGTTTTTGCAGTTTAAGGCCCTAGTGGAGCTGGAATCAGGGCATAAAATTAAGGCTGTACGCTGCGATAATGCCTCGGAATATAAGTCCTTAGGGGGGTTCAGGGCTATATATACGGGCTACTTACCACTGTAGAACAGCAGTCAATTCAGTACGTTTTACTTGGTTTACATTGCAAGCACGTGACCCTCGCTTCTTTACTTAGCTAGTTCAACAAGCTTGGGGACTATTCCAAGTCACGTGACAAGCCGTCAATGAGAATAAGAGGGGTGTTTGATTCAAATAGCCTCATGTCCGGTTTGTTACATTCGAGTTGTTGATATTCTGAACTCCAAATAGGGGTCACAAATATTTGATAATTGGTTTTGTGGTACTCCGGAAGCTATTCCGACAAGTGACTAATAAGCGCCTCCTCGAGTATCGACAGCAACCCCACTCTCAGCATCTGTATCGGAAGCAAGGACAGTGACCGCAAGTACACAAGAGCCCCGATAATCGCCGCTGGACGGAGGAGCCTAGCGGCTTCTATCTCGGCTTGCAATCAACCTGGAACGCTAAGTCTTCATTCCTCCAGACCACCAAGGTCGGACACTTATTCGCAACACTTCTCAATTTCAAACTCCTCACTTCCGTCAAGATTGCCAAGGCCGCAGCAATGGACGAGCACATCGACGTCCTAGTCGGCGACTGGATGAGCGAGTTGAACATTCCAACACGAGCTTACAACGTTGCAAACGGTCTAGGGATCGGTTACGAGGAGACTTTCCTTGAAGCCCTCGAACCTGCCTTGGAGAATATCGCCAAGAAAGGTATCAAGCTTGCCGCGAATGCCGGGACTGTTGCAACGAAGGAGTTGTATGATATTGTGGTTAAGATGGTGAAGGAGAAAGGGCTGGATTTAGCGGTTGCGTGGATTGAGGGTGATGTCGTTTCGGATCTTGTGAAGGATGATTTGAAGAAAGCCCCGAGGAAGTTTGTGCACATTAGCACGGGGGAATCACTTGAGGAGTGGGGGTTCGATCCTCTATTTGCCCAATGCTACCTGGGCGGCCTGGGAATTGCAATGGCGTTCAAAGCTGGCGCAGACATTGTCATTTGTGGCCGGGTGGCAGATGCTTCTCCTATTGTTGGAGCGGCAGCTTGGTGGCATAACTGGTCTCGTACCGACTACGACCAACTTGCACAATCTCTGATAGCTGGGCATCTTATTGAATGCTCCGTGTATGTTACTGGCGGAAACTTCTGCGGCTTCAAGAGTTTGGACTGGGCTGGCATCAACGATTTAGGATATCCAATTGCAGAGATTGCACATGATGGAGACGTAATCATCACCAAGGCGAAGAACACTGGGGGCCTTGTATCCATCGAGACATGCAAAGAGCAGCTTTTGTACGAGATTCAAGGGATGTACTATCTCAACTGCGACGTCACGGCGGTGATCAATCAGGCTTGCTTCACTGAACTCGCACCAAATCGGGTCATGCTCTCTGGCATCACTGGAAAGCCACCTCCAGCTGCGACGAAGATGGGCCTCACGGCTTTCGGTGGATATCAAGCAGAGCTCCATTGGGCTATGATTGGGTTGGATATTGATGAGCGAGTGAAACTACTTGACGACCAGCTGAGAGATAGTTTCGGAAAATCAAGGATGGCGAAATTTAGTCTCTGGGATATCTCTGTGTACGGTTCGACTCCTGAAAATCCACGGAATCAGAACTCTTGTATCGTGGATGTGCGCTTGTTTGCACAGGCCAGGCATGCCGAAGATCTCTCCGAAACCAATTTCATCAGACCGGCACTTGACATAAACATGCGTAAGTGAACCTTGCTCTTAACAGTGTGTCAAATGAATAGAATAGAATAGAGTAGTGACCACTACTCTATTCTATTCATCAAAATTTACCCGCTACTCATATTCTATTCATATTCTAATCATGGTATTCATGAATATTCATGAATATTCATGAATACTTTGAGTGGTATGCATGTGATTCTGCACGTGAGGAGCTAGCTATATTAGGTAAAGCTTCCGCTTGCTCCCGCTCTAGCGCCACCTCGCTATCCAATTAGGCAACGGCGAGGCTTGGTAAGCGAACCAAAGTACAAGATTCCGAGGAGGATAATTAGTTTATTATTGTAGAAAATTAGTATATAGCTAGTATTATATAAGTCTTAGCTTAGTTTAACTAGAGCTATTAATAGGCGCCTTAGTTATTTAATAATTATTAAGTAAACCTTGATTTTCCATGGTCACGTGAAGTCACGCGACCAGTAATTACAAGTATTCATGAATATTCATGAATATATATTCTACTCTACTCTAAATTTTTGAGAATTACGCTACTCATATTCTATTCAAGATATTCATGAATATTCATGAATACCTTGAATACCTTGAATACCTTGAATACCTTGAATACTTTTTTGATACACTGGCTCTTAAACAGGTCAGATGCTGACTTGGAGCTGAAGACACTTATCCGGCAGCCACTTTCCATGCCGACCTACGGACTGCCGTACCCAAAGTCGTAAGAATTGGCATCTGCACTTTGATATCGGGTCCAAGCTGACTTGTTGATAGTTTACCGAATACTTTCCGACACTCATTCCACAACCAACACAAACAATCCACTTCTCAACTGGTGCATCGCCGATGACGTTTGTGCCACCAACAGAGACTACTATACACCCAGCATCTCAGCCGTCATACCCGCCAACAAACCCTGTTGATTTGAGCTCTTTTGGCCCCACAAAACAAGTTCCACTAGGACGTGTCGTGTACGGACGAGCTGGAGACAAGGGGTCAAATTGTAACGTCGGATTATTCGCACGTAATGCACAAGAATGGCCGTGGCTCCGCAGCTTACTGAGCACAGAGAAGTTGATAGATCTGATGGACGAAGAATACAAGGGCCAGGAAATTGATCGCATGGAGTTCCCAAATCTTTGGGCTGTGCACTTTTTACTCCACGACCACTTGGATCGTGGCGTGACAGCAAATGCTGGATATGATATTCTGGGAAAGTTCATTGCTGAGTTCCTCAGACTGAAGAAAGTGGATGTTCCGGTAGCTTTCTTGGAGAAAGGGGTTTTGTAAAACTAGCCAGGAAGACTTTCACAGGGGCGGTGACTTCCACATAAGTCAGACTCAACTTTTTTTTTCGCTGGTTCTGTTTTAGTCTTTGGACGTGAGCAGCTGCCGCCTTAACCTGAGCCGAGGGTGAGCATTCCTGAGCACGGCCTGAGCTCGGCCTGAGCAACCTGAGCAACCTGAGCACACGGCAGAGTCAGCCTGAGCATGCGCTGAGAGGCCATTTTAGCTTCCAAAGGGGCTCGTTCTGGCTCCCTTGATGCTCGGTTATACTTTCCTTATCTTATCTTCAAGTACAGATCCCATTTTAGCTCCCTTGCGACCAAGATTCCCCCAGAGCCATTTTTAGATGTATATTCGCTTATATACACGTGATAAGTAGGTCAGCCTCATTATTCCATAACGTCTTATTATTGTCCATAGGAGCGATTTTATATAATACGAATTTCAGTGGTATTTAATTTACTCCTCTTTACTTTTGGATATTTTAATACTATACTTTCCTCGCGTGTCTCTTTTCTCTTTCTTTTTCTCCTAGTTTTTGTTCTGCTTATAAGAGGGTAAAGGGCCAAGGTGCTCCGACAGCGAGTTTGATTCCTGTGCTATTTATGTACATGTGATATTACTTCGGGAAGGGCCTTATACCAGTTCTATCTCGACGGATGATTGGGATGACTAGTTCGCCGGTTGATCGTTATGAGATTCATGCAGCTGCGAGATTGCCCTACTAAAGGGTTATACTAAGGCTTAGGAGAGGGATTATATATGCTATGTAAGGGATAATCGTATCAGTGGGACCGAGAGAGGGGAGATCGCCGGTGGCAAGCCTGCTAATGGTGACATTACGTAGCAGTGATGCCGTATCAAGTCGCACTAGTGTCCAGTGGCGCTGGGAGATTCATGTAAATCCTAGCAGTCCAGGATTGTATTGGCACCGGAGCTTTACTAACAAAGGGAGGAGGGGGAAGGGGAGGGTCAGCTGGCAGACGCCAGACAGAGGTGGAGATTCATGCAGTATCGATGCCGTATCCAAGGAGTTATACCAAGGGCTAGTAGTACTGGGAGATCCAATCCTGGCAAGGGAGAATCACACTAGCGGCACAGTTTAGTGACAAAGGGGTGCAGGATCAGCTGGGTATAGGTCAAACAGAGGTGGAGATTCATGTAACGCCAATGCCGCGAAGGAGTCATACCAAGGGCTAATGGCACTGGGAGATTCATGTAAATCCTGATAATGCAGAACCACATCAGCGGCACAGTTCACTGGCAAGAGTGCAGGATTAGCTGGGTTGGGGTCAAACAGAGGTGGAGATTCATGCAATGGTAATGCCGCGTCCAGAAGGGGTCACACCAAGGCTAGTGGCACGGGAGAGCAAGGCAGAATCACATCAGCGGCACAGTTCACTGACAAAGGGGGTACGAGGTTGCTGGTATGATTTCTGTGACCGATCTCATTCATGCAAAGGTTTAGGATATCCCAGAGGGCGGGGCTCTGCCTACGATCAGCTTCTCCCTCTCTTCGTATTAAGTGAGGGGTAAGCTGGGCCTTAGTACAATCCCTTCCTGGTGGCCCTGAATCTTACAATTCACGAAGCATCAGCAGCCTCAACACTACCGAAGACATGTCAGCCAACTGTGCTGCGTTCTGAGTAATTGTATTCTGTTATCACTTATCGCCGGACAATCGCCAGCGTAAACAACTTCGTCCTACTCGCCGCATTGCGACCTCCCCTGATCTCCGCGAACCCGCATCATCAAAACCGCTTTCCACATCCCCAGTATCCCGACTCGAGCTTTTTATAAGCTCCCTCGAAAGATCTTTCGAAGCAGGTGTCTCAAGACAACATTGCCGCCTTCTTGGTTGAACGTGTTGCGAAATATCTTGCCCGTCTCCTTGGTATAGGCTCGCAGCTCTGCCACGTCGTAGAAGGTCTGAACTTTTTCCTCACTACCACTTCGTCCCCATTCAATCAAATCAACGATATTGACGTATGTCCTTCGTACAGCCTATGATCCGCGTCAGTATAAATCTACCAACTTTCGTTGCACGGTCTCCTACCTCCTCGCGTTGCTCACACGTTTCCGGAAGCGGCTCGACACCGATTGCACGACAAAGCGCAGTCAAATCGTTCTCTGCACCGTACCGCATATGCAGTTCGCTTGCACCGCATCTTGGTATCTGTTCCACGCATCGTCTGACGCGCACTGCCACGGCGCCATCCTTCGTATTCCCGCAAGTTAGCATACGAAGTAGCTAGTGGGAGAGAAGGGTCATAATCGAACATTTTAATTGCTCTTTAAATATCAACTTCTCTTAAGTTTAAAGTATCTTAGTATACTGAATCTTATTTTAGAAGCTACTACATACAGTATTTATATGCCGCCACCTAGTGAACTACGCCCCAAACGTCGTCTTATACCACGCGTCTACTTCAGCCTTGGCCTGAGACTCGGCGGCCGAGACCACCGTTCCAGGCCATATTCGTTCCAGGTTCTGCTTGAGCTTTTGCCTCCGCTCTTGCCTCCGCTCGTTCTTTCGCCTTTGCTTCCACTCATCTTTCCTCGCTCGCCGTGCTTCCCTTGTCAGCTTCTGGAGCTCTGCACGCAACTTGCTCACCTCGGCGGCGCGGTCTTCCTCTTCCTCTCCGCATCTCATATTACAAGTAGCGGCCAAGTTTGCCAGCGCCATCAGCGTGTCCCGGTGGAGCGGGCCCAGGACGCGCCGCCGGGCTTCCAGGACATGGCGCTCTTTGGCTTCGGCTTCGGCGAGCTTCGCACAATCGGGGCCTTGCATCTTGAGTAGCAGGGCCAAGTTGCCCAGGCTAGCCAATATGTCGGGGTGGTCGCCGTCCAGCTGGCTCGTTCGCAGCTCCAGCACTTCGTTCTCCAGCTGCGCCGCCTCGTCCCACCTGCGCTGCCGGTGGTACACTGCAGCCAGCACGGCTCTGGCATCGGCCATGTCAGGGTCGTTACGCTGCAGCACCCGGCTGCCGCGTTTGAGCACGCAGCCCAGGAGCTCCTCGGCCATCTTCCAGCGCCTTTGTCCTCTTTCCGCGGCCGTCACCTTCTTCTTTGATGGGATAGCTGCTGTTCTTGCCCCTGCCGGTATCACGACCTCCCTTTCCACCTCTCGGCATGTCTGCACGCAACCATAGATGGCTGCGAGGTTTTTCTCACTCCGCAGAGTTCGGGGGTGGTCCGGTCCCTGCTGGCTCCTCCTAGTCTCTAAGACAACCAACTCGAGGCTCTCGGCCTCGCGCCAGCGCTTCTGCTTCACAAGGGTCATGGCCAAGCTTTCCATGGTCTCGATCGTTTCCAGGTGCTTGTTTCCTAGCAGATCCTTCTTCTTATCCAAGATGTCCCGCTCCAACCAATTAGCTTTTATCCAATAACCGCGACTTCGATAGGACGCGGCCAGTTCGCCGCGGCTATTCAGAAGCCGTCTGTTGTTCTCTTTCTTTGCCTTATCTAGCTCGTATTGCCTAGAGTTCTCCTCCATGAATTTATTCGCGAAATAAGCCTGAGGCATGTCTGGACTTGTGTCTTTTCTTTCCGCTATTCCTTTTTCGATTTCCAAATAGAGTCGTCCTGCCTGGTCCAGTTCTCCGAGCTGAGTAATAATCCCTGCCAGACGCTGCTTTAGAAGCATGACAAGCTCGCAACTGCTTCCAAGGGTGTTTTCCAGGTCTTCGATCTCCATCTCGTAGGCGACCTTGACGTTGTTTGCCTCATCTCGAACGTGAGCCTCGCCTACATTTGACCACGCCACATTGCCGCTGTCGAAAAATCTCATGAATGCTTCTTGGAACTCGGGCTCTATCCTTCCGTAACGAATCTTCTTGATGTCCTGCTCTAGGTCAATGATAGGCCTTGAGCTCCCAAAGACTAATTCGTCCGATTTCCGCGGGTCCTTTCCAGTGCCGAATCCGATGGCCTTGCATAAGGCGAGCTGATACGTATCGTCTCGTTGACCCGTCGCTAGCCTCGTCTCCCAGCTCGTCACCAATTGGCGCCGCAGCCGGTAGTCGACTTGAGTGAGCTGGTAGAGAGACTTTGAGATCCAACTGTCGAATGGCGAACTAGGGCGTAGGCCAGCGCTATTCTCTTTCGTAGTTAGCTGGAATTGTTTATAGGCGCGAACGGGCTCGTCTCCGTAGGGCGTGGAGCTAAAAATCCTTTTTAAGTCAAAGTCACTGAAGACGGGGTGCTTTTCAGAAGGTTCAATGTTGGAGATAAGCCCGAGCAAGACCAGCAAGTTCGATGTTCTTTCTGTCTGGTTCCTATTCAAGGAAAGCGACCAAAACTTTTCTAGCCGAACTAGCTGGCTTTCTGGAGCTGTGTTGCGGTAATGGGCCAGGTATTGTTCAACAAAGTCATGCAGCCCGTTCTCGACTTTCAGCTTGTATATGCTCTTTTCGTCAGGCCGCCTAAGGTCAGGGTAAGCGGCATTGCCATGGTCCGACGAATGATGTGCCCAGTACGAGAGGAGGTTGTCCCGGAATACCAACCAAAAGCAGACGAGACCGAGCGAGTAAATGTCTGCTTTTTTCGCATCGCCTATTGGGATCCGCTTCTTGCTATACTCCGGAGCTTCCCACGGTGGACTCCTAGGCAACGATACCTCCTCCGTATCGCTGTCCCCAATGTGAGAAAAACAAAAGTCAATTATCTTGGCCGTGAAGCGTTCATCTGGGCCTTTATCTGAGCCCTGGTTGAATATGAGAATGTTGTCCGGTTTGATATCGCCATGAATGATGTCTGTATAGTCGTTAGGTTCATTCCGCTAAGGCGTAAGAGTTTATTGGAAAGAAAAGAAGGAGAAGTAAGTAGAAATGAGATGAGAAAGAAGAGGGGGAGATTCTGCACCGTGTTCATGTATCTTCAAAGTAGCAGAGACGCAATCCCTGCAGATGTTAAGTTTGTCGTCAAACGACAACTTTTTGCCCTCCTCCGACTCGATGAACTGCCGCAAGTTCCCCCAGTGCGCTTTTTCAAACACCAAGACTGGCCACAAGACGCCGTCGTCGTATTTTGCTTCCCAGCCAACCCCTAGCAAATTCGCCACGCACTTTTCCCGGCGCACCCACGGCTTGGTCAGGACGCGGATCTCGTTTGCGAATTCGTGGAGGGCCCCTCTCAGGGCTGTGGGGCGGGCCTCTGGTGGTAGTGGTCCCGAATCGGCGTACAGCTTGAACGCAAAGCTAGTCTGGACATTCACGAGGGCCTGGTGAACGACCCCGGATGCTCCAGCACCGAGCTGGCCCAGCTGCGGCTGCCAGGTGATGGGCAGAAGGTCCACGTTGCACGACTGCACGACCGCGAGGAATCCGGCAAGATCAAGGCTCTCGGACGGAGGAGCGGCTGCATCAGTGCGGCTATGGCTAGGCTGGCTAGGGGAATGTTCAGATTCTGCATTTCATAGACATCAATATAAAGTACACAACGCCTTTAAGATTCGGAATCTGTACCGCTATCGCCCCCCTCTTTGCATATCTTTCTCGCCCTCTCAGAAGTACAACAACACGGAGTTGCTTTGCAATTAATATCCATCCAGATGCGCGGGGAGTCCTTCGTCTTTTCCCACAGGAAGCTTGCCACTTGGTCGTACTGTCCACCCTTTCTAATCCCATAAACCGCAAAGTGGAGAGCGGCCCATTTTTTACCTTCGTATGTTGCAACCTTTTTAACGCTAGCTTTCTTGCACACTAGATACTCGACCACATCCAGCGATCCGAATTGAGCAGCGAGATGGAGTGCCGTACGATCCGTATTGTCGCACATGTTCACGAGCTTCTCCTTCTTTTTCGTCGAGCTATTGCTGGTACTTTCATCGGCTAGCACTAGCATTTTAACTGCGTCTAGGTTCCCTCTCGACGCCGCATAGTGAAGAGGCGTTCGGCCAGAATGGTCTTGAGCCCTGACACCCTCCTTGTATCTCTGGACCAGTTGACTGATAATTATCTTATTCCCGTGACTTGCCGCACAGTGTAGAGGCAAAAGACGGTCGGAGTCTTCAAGCTTGGCGTTTGCTGGATTCGCTGAGGGACTGTGATTCAGGAGACAGCTGATAACATCCTTCTGGCCGTCCCCAGCTGCGCAGTGGAGTGAGGTCTGTCCGCTGTAGTCCTGGAGGTTTACATTGAAGCCTTGCTCCAACAGATATTTCACGACATCCACATGGCCGAGAGTCGAGGCCAGGTGAATTGCTCCTTTGATCTCCTTTAGCTGCCGAATTTCGGAAAGAGCTTTCACGTCACCCTTTCTGCAGTACTCTAGTAGTTTCCCTTCTGGCGTATCAGGAAACTTTCTGCAATCGCAAGGCGATTCCGGCCAGTTCGGCCGCTTTTCAGAGAGACTTTTGACCAATTTCGCTGTATTGGGGCGTTTATTTGGGTCGTCGTCGAGCATGTCCTGAAAGACAGGGAGAATGGCGGCTATCACCGACCACTTTTTTGCATGAGAATCTTGCCACGCTCTAATCAGGTCGTGTACCTGATCTAAGTTCTTGGCGTAGGATGCTTCCTGCCCTCCGGTCCTAAGTTTCTGGTGAAGTTTGTTCTTTGCCTCGCCAGAATAGTAGGCGGCCAGCATCTCCACAAAAACTGTCGCCAAGGAGAATACATCTGCTGATCGACCGCGAGAGCCTCCATCTTCTACTTCCGGGGCGCAGAACTGGGCAGTCCTTCCCTTCTCAGCAAAGGGTTTTGTTGTTGAGAGTGTCTTTATCAGGGCCATTCTTGATATTCCAAAGTCGGCAAAGTATGGAAAGTACGGCTTCTTGTTGTCGAAGAGGATGTTTTGCGGTTTGATGTCTCGATGGCGGATTCCAATCGCATGGAGATAGTCTAAGGCCCCCGCCAGACATTCCATCGCCTGATACATCTTCTCCGGTTTCCACGTCGAGAAGCTTTCGGGGAAAGTTTTGCCCCGCATCATGACGATAGCTGCATACTTTTGGTCTGAGAGGCCGTCAAAGATGTAGGCATACAGTATCTTGATGACGTGGGGGTGCTGCGCATGGCGTAGAATTCGGAGCTCAGCCAAGAATCCTTTCTTTTTTTCCTCGTAGCTTCTTGGATCGTCGTGAGAAGGCGCGAGTCGGATGCCTTTCCGCGCAATAGGATGGTTGCTCGCAGCCTCGAGCCATCCTTTCGGGTCCTCGAGTAGACTTTTTTTGATTGTGGGGAAATCAACGAAAGTCTCGTGTGGCGACGTCCATTCCACGGTGAAGGGTGAAGTGTCAGGCCCATAAATAGGAGGGTTCTCAAAAAAATCTTCGATCGGGACGCCGTCCATTATATGTGATGCGGTATGGCTGATGTTTTCTGTGGAGCAGGTCGGCGGTTCAAGAGCCACTTGGGCTATGAGGATGAGAGCGGTGGCTACCACGAAGTCTAAGACGGCTTTGGGAGAAGGATCGTGCGAACACAATATAAGCCGTTTCCGAGGCCTAATAAAGAACGAGACGTGACCTCGGGGCCTTACTATGCTGGTTACGGCTGCCTACAAGCACCTATCCTCACCATCCAATCATAGACAGCCTCCCCGACCTTACCTTTCTATCACATTCCAGAACTTTCAAAATCCATGTCCCTGCAGGTAAGCGCGTTGTGTCTGCCTTACTGAGTGGTGGGGAAAACAAGATGGTGTCCGGACTGGACAACGGCTCCTCGGGGTAGGGCAGTCGAGCCCATTCATGTCCAAAGCCCTCTCACGGCCCAACCTGATGTCTAGGTGTGTTAGGAATCTATATCTCCAACATTGCAGCTTCCGCTCCGCTACCTCCTCGTCAACTGGGTACACTAGCAGCACATGAGTCGCCAGGCTGCCGAAATCGAACCCAGCAACCCCAAAACCCCAACACATTGACTAGGGCACATGAGCTCAGGTCTTTACGCCATGGATATCGGAACTGCCATCGCAACAGGGACTCTGGTCTACCAGTTCATTAGCGCCTGCGCCGAGTTTTCGTCCAAGGCTGGCGCTCTCGCAATGGGCATCTCCATGGACATGAGGGGTCTCCAAAACGTCCAGGAATACTTCGACAACCGGAGGCAGCAGCAACAGAACCACATACTGTCCAACGATGACGAGCAGCTGCTTCAGGAGATATCAAGACATCTCAAGGGCTTGATGGACAAAGCGCCCCGGAGCCTCAAGGCACTTCGAAGCACAGGCGTCAGCAGAGCCGCCCTCGCCTTGACTTGGTTTATCAGGCGGTCCGAATTTTTACAACTACATAACGATCTTCGTGACATGTTGGATAGGCTAGACGTGAAAGTCATTCGTCTCCCGCCCGAGGTCCGCACCGCCATTCGGCTCGACATCCCACCTGAAGGACCGGGCCGAGTACCAGCCCCAGCTATCATCCGAAGCAACGAGGGCCTCCGGCGTTTTGTCCAACTCGAGCCAGATGACAAAAAGAAACTAGGCCTGGGAATGCGGCTGAAAGATGCCAGCCAGCTAGATCTACTTCTCGCCGATTCACCCGACCTCCGCAGTTTCCCTGTGAGCTTCAAAGACAGACAGCTCATTTTCGCCGCCCGCAGTGTATCGGAGAACGTTGCCTCAGAGACGTCCGCTTTCAACAAGCTCGAAACGGATGTTGGCATCCTCGCTGCAGCGCTCAACTACCTTGATCCTGCGGCCGACATCCGGCTGCTCAAGGTAGAATTCTACCACTACCACGCCGAGAGCCGCCAATTCCTCTTTGCCCATTATGCCCCGTACCGCACCGACCTTGTCACGACGCTGAAGGAGCGTATCAGGACCGATCCCTTCCCCGAGGTCCAAGTACCTCTGAACCAGCGACTCAAACTTGCGTACAAGCTAGCCGAGGCCGTCTTCTTCCTCCATGCTGCCGACTACGTGCACAAGAACATCACCCCGTCGAGCGTTGTGTCATTCCGCAAGTGGGAGGAAGAGGAACCGGACGAGCCGAGCACTGATCTCGAGGACGCTTACCTCATGGGCTACGACTTGATCCGCGCGATCGAGGCGCGGACCAGGAAGGAAGGTGCTATCAAGAGGGACGGGGACGAGCGGTCCATCTGGGAATTTGACCTCTATCAGCACCCGAAACGGCAGCTGGGAAAGGACAGCAAGAAATACGCCAAGGAGTTTGACGTGTACAGCCTGGGCGTTGTTCTACTCGAGATAGGAATGTGGCAACCCCTGGAGTCTGTGGCACTGCGGTTGGACCAAGGAGACCCCAAAAGCTGGGCCGGTTACCTTGTTGACATTGCTACAGAGCAGCTGAAGCCGGTTGTGGGAGAAAGGTACTGCAAGTTGGTTTCCTGGTGTCTCAAGCTTGACAGCAATGATGGGATGAAAGAGACTGATTTCGTTGCTAATCTGCTGGATCCGCTGGAGGATATGGTCAACGCGCTATCTTAGCACTGTGGTAAAATAACCGGTTCCGTTATTTGCTGCGTTGGGAAATTAAGTGATTATGAAATAGAGATTGAGTTGACGATAGTTAATTCCAGCTCAAAGCCACTTATATATATCGCAGTAAGAGAGCTGGTCGGTTTGAACATGTTCAAAATAAAATATCACTTATGATCTAATTGTTGAGTGTTTTCCATATATAATGACTCTGGTAGCTCGCTTAACATAGAACTAAGATGGCTATCTTGGGGTCACCTCTCTACAACGATCATTCACAAGGCAATACAGTCCATGTGCGTATCATTTGTGACAATTTAAAGTAGGTAAGTATGGCCATTCCGCTCATCTTCGCATCTGTATTTCCCGTACTCTTCTACGCCGCGGACGATAATTTCGCACAAGTAACCCTACTTCACCCCAATGAGTATCGTAATGTCATCCGCACAGAGTTCCATCGTCTCCCACTCGAGCTCAACATCGTCCAATACGACTAGTGACACTGTCACTCTCAAAGACGTTTCTCCCTCGATCGGAAAGGCTACGACTGACTCACCTCTCGTGCGTATAATCCTCGAGTCTTATGGCAGGGAGATACTCGAGTCTACAAGCGACCAGTTTTCTTGATCTCGTCGTCGGGGTGTGACTCCAAATAATTAGCGCAAGAGAACTAGTGAAGCTACTTGCTAAGGCGAAAAGGCTTGGGTATCGAGAGACAGATATCATGGACGACGAAGACGGTATCCGTAACGTCCAGGAAGCGAATGCAGGTTTACCGTCAAAGCCCAACGGAATCGAAACCCCGAAACGACGGGCTATGATTGCCGGCCAGCGTCTCCCTCCCTCCACAGCTTCGACTCAACCACCTCCCCTCGAAGAGGTTCGAGCCCAAAATTGTACGAACACAGCTCCTGTCCGGCGAGACGAGTCTCTCTCGACGCACAACTCAATGCTCCCAGTATGCAAAGGGCTGCTCTTTCCGAGAAAGCAGGTGGCCACAGCATTCAGGGCATACAGGTTGTTATGGGTATACAAGATGGGGTGCCAACAGCTGCTAGGACTGCTGGGAAACAAGGAGAAAGGGAGTGCTCAAAGACTGGATCGGAAGCGTGGGTCGCAACTCATGTTGGGAGGTCTAGCAGTGCCTTGAAGAGAACGCGGCCACAGGACGTGAGAGGTGGAGTGCAGAGCCGACGCCCTAGAAAGCTGGTTCGAACATCGGCTGGAAAGTCATCTCCGCCGATTTCTGGCCATTGTCTCGAGGTAGTCATCATATCCAGCGTCGATTTCGATACCTGAGGTATCGATAAGGTATCGCTAGTATCGATTATTCCTAAAAGGGACTAGTCTATCTATCATTCGTCCTCGCTCTCAAGAAATTTATCTAAGATCCCACTCTTTTTCCAATGCTTTAAGCACTCGATTATCTCGATCGTCTCAGGACTAAGCTGGCCCCTCTCCCACGATATTATACGGCGAGCTCCAGAGAATACACGCTCTGGTTCATCGCTCATAGCCGGGATTGAGAGGATACCGATAGCCATATGCGAGAGCCGCGGGTACCGCTGCCTCCGGGTATCATTACACCACCAGGTAAGGGCTAATACTATTATAGCTCTTATATAGTTATTAATTCTATTACTATTTATATAAGGCTATTTTAGGGATATTTAAAGAACTTCTTATATTAAATCTTAGCTACTTTTAGATATAATACAATTCTTATAATTAGTTCTTATTATTATATAAATTAGATCTAAACTTTTTTTTTACTAGTTTTATATTAGTATTTAGATATAAATAGCTATTACTTTAATTTAAGCTAAGAGTAAGCCTATCTAAATACGGTCTAATTATAGCCTAAATAGCTTAAGTAAAAGCTAACTAAGCCAGAATATATATTTAAAAGCTCTTTTAATACTATTAAGGAGCTAATTTAGCTTTCTTAAAGTTAGATAAATACTTTTTAAATTATATATTTTTATTTTCTAACTTAAATATAATTTCTATTTTAGTTTTCTTAAAACAAGAATTCTTTTAGAACTATTTCTATTCTTATACTAACTATTATAAATATAATTAATTAGTAAACCGAGTCTTATTATTTTAAAACATTTCTTTAATATTTATAAATAAGAGACTTTATAATATAGATTTCTAAAATACCTAATTTTATGTTATTTTTTTTAACTAAACTATTATATTAATATATAAATAATTAATTAAGATTAGCTATTATTATAATAGAGAAATAATTCGGATTTTTGAACTAAAGTAATATAATATTTAATTATTATTATAATAGAGAATTAGTAATACTATTTTAGAAATTATAGTTTTAAACTTTAAATAACTATTTATAATTTTATTATAATAGAATTAGAATTTATATCTCTGAGTTATAAGTAGATTTATTAAAATAATAAATATAAATAAAAATATTAGAAGCTAAAATAGACTTTAGAAATAATTATAGAATAATAATTTCGAAATATTTATTACTTATAAAATATAGTATTTAAAATACTATAATAGCTATTATTAGTAAAAGCTATTAATGTATTATTATATAGAATAAGAATAGTTTATAGTATTTTAAAAAGTAAGGTTTATATTAACGAGCCTAATAATATAGATTTATATATTTAGGGCATTTTTCAGGCATTTTCTAGGCCTCGAAAATTTGCTTATAGGCTTTAGAAAACTAAACTCTCTTTTAATACTTAATAGTTATAAGATAATAAAGAATAATTATAATTCTATATTTAGAACTAGAGAACCGAAGTTAGTAAAGTATAATTTAATTAATTAATTTTTAAAGATTTAAAGATTTGAAATTTTTATTTATTAATTAAATACCCTAAGTATATAGACTTATATTATTAGGCTTATAACTTAATTATTTTAAAAAAATAAATAAAGAAAAGTACTATTCTTATAATTAAATACTCGCCTTAATTATATAAAAGCACGTGAGATTTCAATATTTGAGTTTCTTATTTAATAATATATATAATATAATTAGTATATCTTTTTAAATATAAAGTAATAAGAATAAAGTAATTATAAAAAATAGAAATTTAAATAACTTAAATAATTAAATTCGAGAAGTATTATTTTATATTAATAAAAAAGTATTTAATAAAGTATTCTTAACCTTAATAATAGAAAAGTTTATAATAATATATAGAATTAGAAAATACTAAATTAAAACTCTTTTTAATATTATATATTAAACTTCTTAATATAAATAACTTTTAAACTAATATATTAACTAGTATTATTATTATAAATTTTATAATACTAATATTACGAGTAAAATAATAAGTTTAAGAAAAGAAAGAATATAGTTATAAGTTATATTAAAATTAGTTCTTTTATAAAATTCAAAAAGAATATTTAGAATTCTATTTTAATAATTACTTTTAAAAAAGTTATATAATTTAAATATAAGTTTTATTTTTCTTTTTAAATAAAAACTTCTTTATATATAAAAAGGGCTTTTAAATTAGTAATTTCTTATATATAAATAATTTTCACTTTATAAGCTAAAACTATTTTAAATTATATTAGCTTATAATCGAATATTAATTTATAAAATACTTAAATATTATATAAAATTAGATATAAGATTATTTCTAAACTAAAAAATTATTTTAATTAGAATTTCTAATACTTATTTAATTATAATCTAATTTTATAAGAATAGTAATATATTACTTTAATTATATTTAGTATAGGAAAAGAATAAAGTAATAAACTCTATTTATATTCTATTTAAATATATTTCCTATTACTTATTCTTTATTTAATACTTTATTTAACTATTCTAAATTATTCTAAAATAATTAAATAATATATATATAAGCTATAAGCTAGCCTAATATAGTAAGTCTCTAGAGTAGCCCGGAACTAGTACTAGTATATTATCTAATTAAGTAGTAATAAAGCTTAGGCTTTTCTAATTACTAAATAAAGACTTTTTTCCTAAACTACTTCTATTATATTTAAATTATATAATAGACTTAATAAAAGTACTTTTAAAATAATATCTTACTAAGCTTATATAATATTATTTATCTATTAATAATTAAATAAATATTAATTAAATAAATATTAATTAAATAAATATTAATTAAATAAATATTAATTAACTAGATTTATATAACCTATATATAATTACTTTTAAATAGCTTAAATAGCTTAAATAGTTTTTTCCTATACTAATTATATTAATAGTATTTATTTCTATATTTTATTTAATTATAAGTAGTATTATTTAATAAAGATTTAATATAAAAAGAAATACTATATTCTATAATTAAAAGAATTTTTATTTATTTATAATCTTCTTTATTTATAAATATTTAAAAAACTAAATATAATATATAGAAATAATATACTTATACTAGCTATAATATATAGAGTTAAATAAATAATTATAAATATATATAACTAAAGAGTTATATTTATTATTATTTCTAATATTAATAATATAATTTTAGTAAATTTTAGTTAATAAAATAAAATAATTTTTTGTTTTTTAATAAGCTTAGATTTTTAAATTAAACTTATTATTAAGATTATAATTATATTTTATAGAACTATATAATATAATTAGTTTATTCTAGCTAGCTTATAACTAGCTTAAAAATCCGATTTATTAATATTAGTATAGCTATTTCTTTAGGAGTTATATATATAATTACAGGATATAGAATACGGGATATAAGTAATAAGATATAAGTAATGAAATATAAATAATAGGATATGAAATACGAGATATAATTATATAACCTTATATCCTATTAGTAATTCGACTAGTAGACTAGACTCTTTTAGGCTTAGTAGATTTAGGGATTATATATTAATATTATAATACTATAATTCCTACTTCTAAATAATAATAATTTTACTAATCTAATATAACTAGTATTTCTATACCTATATAATAGTATTATATATTACTAGTAAACTAATACTAATTAATTTATATATATAGATTAGAGAAGATTTTAGATTAGTCCTAAAAGCATTTAGTAGCCTAAGACAAATCTAGTCTATTCTATATTAAAGGAAAGAACTATTTATTAACTTTATAAAAGTATTTAGTAGCCTATAAAAAAGATATCTAGCTCTTACTAATTAATAAGCGGTTAGCTATTTAATTATCTATCTATTTAACTTCTACTATTTTTTAAAACTAACTTCTTTTAGCCCTAAGACTACTTTTTTGGAAACTATCTTTTCTACTTATATAATACCCGTATCTATAGAACTCTTTCTCTAAAATATATATCCTATATATGTCTTTAAAGCTCTTTAACTACTATTTCGATTTTACTATTAAATCAAGTTTTTTGAGCTTTAGATTCTCCCGGAATTATAATATTTCACTTCCTAAATTTCTTATTATAAACGAAATATTTAAGGGCGAAATATTTATTTTAATACCCTATTAAGTATCTGGTATCTAAACCAGATATCTAGATATCTTTACTACCGAATTCTTTCTATAAACTTACTATAAACTACTTTATCTTTAAACCCCTCCTATTATAAACTATATATATATACTAGAGAAAACCTGAACTCGGTTTAGTATAGATACTAATAAAAGAAAGAAACTAATTAAGAAATAGGAAAATAGTATTAACCTAGTAACTATAATAAAGACTAAACTTCAGGAATATATAATTACTAAAATATATTAATATATCTTATATAAGAAAAGTAATAATAATTTATAGGATCTATTTTAGGATAACTTTAAAAACTTTAATATTATAGTATATAGTCTAATTAACTATATACTTATATAAAATCTTTAACCCTAACTTTAATATAATAGTATTTATATTAAATAGAACTATAGAAACCTTACTATTACGTAATTCTTTATTAATCTTACCTAAGAAAAGATAAAGAATATATGAAATAAAGCTAATATTATTAATAATAATCTAATTAGAATAGATTTTCTTTAGGAATCTATTATATTAGTTTATCTTATTCTAGATAAAACTAGATATAAGGGAACTAGACGATTTTAGTCGAGAAATTAAGCTATTTTTATATTTTTTTAAATTAAGGCTATTTATTACTTTTACCTTTACTACTACTAGTATTACTACTAAACCCGAACTACTATTAATTAGTACCTACTATTTCTACTAGGAAGCTTATTAGGGAAATAGTAAAGATATATTCTAAAGTATAGAAATATAACGGAACTAATAGTAATTTTAATTATAAACTTATTATTTTCCTTAATATTTACTAATATATAAAGCTTCTAGAAGAAGTACTAGTAAGAGCTTTTCCTACTATATTAAAAGAACTAGTATAAGATTATTTCTATAATAACTAGCTCTCGAGCCATATATATAAAGAGGCCTATATAAATATTTATAGCTTCTTTAAAGGCCCCGGTTTCTATTATTAAAATTTAGATAAATAAAATACTATTACTTTAGTAATTATAATAATAAAGAACTCTAAAAAGATAATATTTAAGCTTATCCAAATACTAATTAATAACCTATATAAATTATAGTATGGC